CCCCGCCGGATACCGCGCCCCGAAGTAGGGCTCTGTTTCGCCGGAGCAGGACTTCGTGGGCTGGCTCCAGTCCCTGCCACTGAAATCGAACATTTGAGATCAATTACTGGATTTGATTGTGGTTATTGATTGTAGAGAGAGTTGTTAAAGTACATGTAGTGAGTTGGGGAGATTCCGAGGAAGAAGACTTTGGTTTTGGAAGGATCGACGTTGAGGTTGACCCACCGGGCCCAGGTGGTGAGGCCTTTGTAGTAAGCCACGTAGCGGTTCATGTCCTTCATCACTCTGTTGCCGTCTTGAATGTAATCCCATCTGCAAATTCATCGGAAAAAAGTTAGGGTTAGGGTTAGGGTTTGGAAGAGGAAGAAGGAGAAGATGGAGGATGATCGTACGGCTGAGAGGAGCCGGTGTGGGTCCACCAGTGCCAGGTGTTGAAGATGAGCATGTCCATTCCCCTCCAGGCGTTGCCGCTCTGGATTGAGTCGAGTTTCAGAACTCGGCCGATTTTCTCGTTCACCATGTCCACCAGGTAAGCCGTTCGGAACAGCCATAGCTCAACTCCATAATCCTACAATTTTAATAATCTTTTATAATTCGACAATCGAACTTATATTTTAAATCTTTAAAATAAGAAAGAAATACTATCGATAATTTAACCTTAAACTAAGAAATTAAAAAAAGAAAAACTATGGATTGGCCTAGTGAAATTAAGATGTCGTTGATGGATAAGTTCCAACGGAGCACACTATATAGACTTGGAATAATTACTAGGTCAAGTATGGGCTTTTGAAATATTAAAAAAAGGGTGGTTCAATTATTTATTAGTTAGGGTACTTTTGTATAGGTTAGGCTTAATAATAAAGATAGTTGAATGTAGAGCATATAATATACATGTAATCCTTTGGTGTGCATCTAAGAGATCAAAGTAAAAAACTTAGCTCAGCTCGGTGATAATTAGCATCCGACCCAGCACCTGACCAAGAGTCAATAAGTTTAAAACTCTCCGTCCCATTGTTTTAGATACCAACCAAAAAAAAAAAAGAAAAGACAACGGGCCCTAGGAAAAGTATGATGCCTCTAATTGTTCCTAACAAACAAATATTAATCTTACATAATAATATAAATTTGGGTGAAAGTAATATACATTTATAATTATCTTTAAAAAAATATATAGATATTTATAATATAGAAGAAAAGAAAAATAAATATTTATTTGCGCCAGGTGAGGTGATTTGCGTGAATTGAGTTAAGAAAAAAAAGCAATTAAGTAAATTATAAATGGATTTAAAATAAAAACATTAATTAGGATTAGGAAAGGGAATGAAGGGGGTCACATGTCCGCAACCGCCAATCACGCTTCACTTTTAGCTCCGCTTGCCAACACATTCAAAAAAGTGAAACCCATGGATTCAATTTCCACTGTTCATCTCATTTTCTAAATTTTCAAAACTATTTATGCGTTCGAGGAAAAAAACATATATATATATATATATATATATATATTTTTACCCCGCTACACTGGCAGATTCAATTTTTAAATTTTATTTCACTAAATCAATTTATAAATTCTAAATTAGTACCTTCAGTTTCACTTGTGGTTGAACAAAATCATGTTTTGGGTGTTACATTATTTGCTTAAATTTGGACTAAATTTGAGTAGTTTCTTTGGTTGGTTTTAGGTATTGTGTAGACTTGGAATATGGGTCTTGCACGTGTCGAATTTTACCTCATGTTCTAGTTAGAATTCAAAAGAAAAAAAAAAGAACAGTAATATATAAAAAAAAAAATAGATAAAACAGTTTTAGTATTAAAATAATTTTCATTAAATAAAAAGAAAAATCGTGTGATCAAATGGTGAATAAAACTCAAAATTTAGCAAGAAGAAGAAGAAGGAAAAGGAGGGGGGAGATTTTTGTTTTGTTTTGTTGGGTTTACCTGAAAAGTAACAGAAGAGAGGCCGTCTCTTCTGACGAATGAGGTCTTGGAATTTGGAACCCATGCGTGAATCATACAAGCCAAAGACTCCCACTGGTTCAAGCTCAACGAATCTCCCACGAACATTATTTTCTTCCCCCTCCATTTCTCCAGAAAATTCAGCCCATTGAACCTGCAAACAAAAATCAAATCATTCCTCATTTCTCAGCGGGGAGGAGAGACGACATGTCGCGTTTGGGTTTGAACTTGGAATACCTGGGGAGAGCGCAGGAGAGGGGCTGCCAGCGATACTTGAGGTACGACTTGTCGGGGCGGCCGTACTTCTGGCAGTTGAACTGCGGATCTACGAAGGGGCAAGTGGAGGAGTCGTAGAGAGGGTACGAAGCGTCGAAAACCCACTTCCCCTGGAACACGTTGCATTTTCCGGCCACTTTTCCGGCGGCCCAACTGCTGTTCGAAATCTGGGCTTGCGTTTGGAGGAACAAAACGCACAGAAGCAGCACTGCAAACGCAGCTCGGAATAAGAAAGAGAAACCCATTGTGATTGTGTTGGGTTCCGATCCCCTGTTTTTTCTTCCCCTTTTTGAAGTAAAAAGGAGGATGGGTGGGGGTGGGGGAAATCTTGTCTGAAACCATCTCCTTTATATAATATCCATACGAGAGACTAGAGAGAGAGGGAAAGGGAAGAGAGAGAGAGAGAGAGAGCTGTTTGGATGGAACATGGAATGTAAATGGAAATGGGTTGGATCCAAATCTTGAGAGGGCGATCATTTTGGTTTTAGCTTTAATTTTACTCTATAATTGACTCATTAAAGATTCCCATAGGATTATAATTCAATTGCTTAAGCTATTTATTCTCAATTAAAAAGTTGAATTCGAAAATTTCTTACCGACCCAATCGTAAATTGATTTACACTATATTGGTTTTTCCTTTTCTGTATCTTTTTCTTTTGCCAGGGTTTTTATGGTGCAATAAATTAGGGAGGGGAAACAAATATTGAAAACAGCGATAAATTCTGTTAATTTAATTATCCCACCTGCCTTTTGAGAAAAAAAAAAGAAAAGAAAAGAAAAAGAAATAGAAATAGAAGGCTATCCCACCTGCCTCCACATCACTATGAGAGGATGAATACACACTCAAAGTTTCTAGAATATATCATCTTAATCACAATATTGGCTTTTCAATATTACAATTCAAATGTGAGATTAGACCAACATAAATATTGCTGACCATTGATGACTTTACTAATTAAACTTTGGACTAAAAAAAAATATTTAACTAATTTTAGTTGATAAAGCTAATGTTTTGGTTAAACAATGACATGGGTCGGTCATAGTTTCAATTTAGTCCTATATAATTTTATAAGTTTAAATTTCTTTTTTATGATTTTGTCGAATTTTACAAATTATATTTGTGTTGTCATCTTGTTGAATATGCGTGACATGTTCTGTTCTTTTATTTATGTGATAGTATTTGTTACTAAAAAATCATGTTTTAGTCAAGTGTTTTAAGATTCAGAGTTAAGAAATTGAAATTTTTGAAATTATAAATACAAAATTGAAACTAAGTTTGTTGGAGAGAAAATATGAACCGATTAAGTCAGCTTACTTAGGTCAAATTCGTCCAACTAGTCTAAGAGAGAAGGCCTACCTACCACATAAGTCGACTTGAAGGTCAAATTAATCAGAGAATCGTCCAGGTCCTCTCCAATCGATATGAGAACACCGACTTGGGGTCTGACAGCCAACCTGGGGTTTGACAACCCGTATGAGCCTACGGTCCCCTCCCGCTACTTAAAGAAAGAACACTCCTCTAAGTCCACTCATTTAGGTACGTCATTTTGTCCGAGTAGACATGAAATAGCTCAAACCTTCATTGACTTAAGCTTCGCAGTGTTTATTCCATTTGTGTAAGTCACTTCTCATGTGCAGCTTGTTCGTCCTTAGTTTGTTCCGACTCGATGTGGGTCGATTTATCTAGTTCAACAGAATTCAATATCAACAAAGTTTAAACCATGGAAACCGAATTCATAATTTAACATAATTTATTATAAATTATTTAAAGAAAATTTTATATAAGATGTCTTTTGTTTATTTAATGGATGAAGGTCTATATAGACAAATATTTTGAATTCATAAGACAGGATTTGAAAAAAAAAACGGGGATGAAGGAGTTGTCAAATCAAAATTAAGAAATTTAAATAAAAAGGTTAGAAACGAAACAGAGATGGAGTTATCAAAATACAATTTACTATTTAGAACAATTATACGTAAAAGAGCTTTTAGAAAAGGAAACTTTTTATTTGCCTTTATCTTTTTTAACTTTTTAAAATTCCTGTATAAAGTTATTTTCTTTTCATTTATTAATTAGTAAATAGTGTGTCTAACGTTGGTTTAATAAGTCAAATTCAATATAACGAGGAAAACAAAAAAACAAAAAAAATTCAATATAATGAGGAAAGCAAAAAACAAAAATTTTTTGTGTTGCAAAGAAAAAAAAAACCAAATTCTATGCTACGAGTTTTTTTCTTATCTAAAAAGAAATATTTGTAGATCTCGATTTGGCCTATTTTTCATTATATCAAACTATCAAAGGCAAGATCATATTTAAATAAAATCATTAAATTATATAGAATTAACAAAAATAACTTTTAAAAATAGAAAAAGGCCACACGATTTAAAATAAATAATTAACTTTAAGAACGGCACTGGCAATTTCACATTGTTCTTTTTTAATAATTATCAATATTGTCTTTTTTAATAATTATCAACTTGGGTATAGTTCCGATCAAATTTAAATACTCAAAAGTTAAAAGAAAAATAATAATTGATCTTAAAAAAGACAAATTTATAATATAAGAATAATATTGAGCACAGTTCAATTGGTGAAGTGAGTTATATTGAAAATATATGTATATAAATAATGTATATAATATTTTAATTATTAAATGAAAAGAGACATGCTGTTACTTCTTTAATAGTGTGGGCCCGTCGAAGCCAATCAAAACTGGGGCTGCTAACACCGCATTTATATCAATGTGCGAAATATAGACTTTTATTTTTGGCATGTAATTTCCTGAGATAAAGCCTTGAATTTGTAATGAAATTTTATTCCCATTTTTTATTTGAAAAAAGGCTCCACCAGAATAATCTTTTTGATAAATAATAATTATTTAGCGACAACAACTGCAATTATTCAAGTCCAAACGTTAACGCTTGGAACTAAAGATTTCTTGTATGTATAATTCGAATATCTTTCCTCGAAAATTAAAAAAAAAAATTAGAATTTGTTAGAAAATAAAAACCAATTAAAGAGGTGAATGACTCGTATAAATGTTAAACGGATTAAATATTAGGAAGTAGTTCAAAAATAATAATAATAATAAAAATCGTATTTTAGAGTTCAAAGCTGGAGTTTATTGGCATTTGGACTTGTATTATTCTAAGCATTGAAGTCCAAAAATTGAGTTGTCAGTGTAATGAATGAGTGTACAAAGTCAATTGCTTGTCCAAACACAAGTCCTTTGAGATAAGAGATAACAATTAATAACGCCAAGAACATCATTTATTAAATAACCAAGTATTTGAATTGAGCATCTTATTGTTTTATCAATTATCATTTACATATAAAATAATAAGAATATTCTTCTCGTATCCCAATTTTTTTAATTTCATTAGTAGTTTGATTGGACTTCAAAGCACCACTAGAGTAGTATGCCTCAGCCACATACACTCTAAACCTTTTAGAACCTAATTCGACTTCAAGCTTAATTTGAATGCAATAGATTCTTTGTCTTTTGAAGGTGGGAGTCTGTCATAAGGGGAGTATTGGGAATTAAGACTCTGCAACTATAGCTGTCATATTCAACGTTTTTCCTTGTCGCTTGAAAAATTCTCTGACGGAAGGATGATTCTTCCGTCAAATGTGAGCAGATTTACAATAAGTTGAATCAATCCCCTTAAGTCGAAGTGAATCTTAGCTATGCTTAATTTGTCACAAGCCCTTCCTCCTTATCTCAAGAGTGTTTGAGTTGGACATGTTGCGCTTGATTTTATTCCCTAACAATTTTTATATAAATAAATATTAAAAAGAATCAAAATGTAGAATACTGTGTTTGTATCCCTAATAATATCGACTCTTAACTAGCTCATCGATAATTGACATATACTATTTTTCTCAAGGTCAGAGGTTCAATCGAGTTATATCCCGAAATGTTGTCCTAAAATATATATATATATATATATATATATATATATATATATATATATATATATAGTTGACTAAAAACTTTGGGGGAGGGTTTTCTAGGTGGTGGGCATGTGCTTCTTTTATACTCACACCTTCTTTTACGAGGATTTTGTCCTTTTACTTTGAAATTGGGTTGCTGATCATTGAGACTCACAACGACTTCAAACTTCAACAAACCTCTACCACGTACAAAGAGTAAACTTTTTTTTTCTTTTTTGATGCATTTACCATTTTATTAACTACTCACATGTTACATGTAACAAACATATATATCGAAAAAGATATTCAACCGATCATCGTTGTCTCTACTCGAATTATCATAAGATTCATGGCCCATCAGATTAGGCAAAACAACATGTTATCCTTATCTTTCCATTTTATATGCTGTTGGTAAACATTAATGGCACATTTGAAATCAACATTATTGTAACATTTGATTGAAAAATAAAGGAAAAAAGGTTGTATGGTCCCTAAATTTGGAAAGAGACAACGAAAGGTTTGAGTGCTTTGCCCACTCGATCCCATGAAAAGTAGATGCAAATTACGAATAAAAAAATATAAATAATTTTAATTGCGATTCATCTCAATCGTTGTTAATTAAGAGCAAAAATTAATTCAACTTCCAGTAAGACTGCTTTTCATTGAAAATCTGATGGGAAACAACATGAATTATTTGTTGTATATTTGAAGTTATAGTTAAGATTTAAAATAATAAGATGAAAAAAATAATCATTGAAACAATCATATTGAATGAATCTTCCTGGAAGTTGTCGCCTTGTTTGTCGTTATAATTTATCCACCGCCTGCCTGCTCTAATTTGCCCTCCCTTTTTCAAATTTCACTCCCTCTGTATTATTCATTTAAAATTTAAAATAAAATAAAAATTTTAATAAATCATCAGAGACAAAACCCATTATGCCCACATGCCATTCACCAGAACACTTAACGTCCAGACTTTTAAAAACTGTTTTTGTTATTTTAATTAATTTAAATTTTCTTTTTTCTTTTTGGTATAAAATTTTGTTTCTTTTCACTTTCAATCAAAGTATATATCATAGACATTTGATATAATCATAGGAGTTTGATTTGATCCATCAATATGAACATAAACTCAATAAACCAAAATATTACTTGATTGGAGTTTTAAATCTTCCCATCTTGTGTGGTAAGGAAGATAATTAAATACTAGACCACCACTACCAATATCTCTTTGTTCATGAAAATAAAAACTTAAAAATAATAATGTTAATAAAAATATTTTCTTCTTTATCAACAAGCAAATGAAAAAAAGAAAATTCGAACTCGTAATGGATTTGTCTGAAATGTGTGAAGTAGCAGCGCACACTCGGAGTACGAAGGCAGTTGTCAGTGGGTTCAGGCCCGGTTTCGCCTTGGCACTTGTCAACTGGCCATGGCGCTGCCCCACCCCTCAAATTTGACATCAGTCATATATCACACAACCTCAACTCAATACCAAATAAAACTCTATAATTCATTAATTATCATGTTTCTCTATCTGTTTTATGCAGTTTCGTTAAGGGCACGTTTGTTTGTGGTGTGGGGAAACCCAAGAAATAAACATAATAATAATCACTTTTACTTGTAATTCAATCAATTAAGCCATTTGCTATTTTTCTCCACTGGGCCCAACCAATGTAAGTGGGCCCAAAATGAAATAGTGCTGAAATGGGCCCACACTCAAGTGGGTTAGAAAATTCTCAAGCAGCAACAGGTGGGTCCCACCATAAAAATAACAGCAATACTTAGCCATATGAAAGTCTTATCCAGAAAGTTCTCTTTTTTGGGGAAAAAGGAAGAAACAAAGGGGAAGAACTAAGAAGAATATTGAATCTTAAAAGTGAAGTTAATTCACAATTATTTTAAAGAAAAAGGAGTGGTGGTGTCATTTGACAATTGGGTTTGGAGAGTTGGGCCAGGTGGGCCAGGTGGGCCAAGTGGGCCATTGGGCCCAGTGGCATTGGATGTTGTGAAAGTTGCTTTCTATATTGGCAAAGAGAAGAGGTGTGACTGTGACATAGATTTGGTTTGGGAAATTCTTTGTTTTTTGTCTCATTACTCATTCATTCATTTGGCTTAATCACATCATTTGGTTCCTCATTTTACTTTCATCTTGTGTGTTTTAAAAATTTTCAATCAAAATTAAATGGAATAACAAAATCATAATACGATATTTCAAATATATTATTTGTTATAAATGTAATATGTTAACGCTCTTTCGAAGCTAAATCAGTATTAAACTTGAAGATGAAAATCTTCTTTTATTTTCTCGTTAAACTGATATTTTGGTCGCTGTACTTTCAATCTTGGTTCATTTTAGTTCCCATACTTTTGAAAATGTTCATTTTAGTCGATGTACTTTAAACTTTGGTTCATTTTAGTCCCTGTACTTTGAAAATGTTCGTTTTGGTCCCTATATTTTTAAAAATGGATTATTTTAGTCACTTTTTACAAAATTTTAAAACAAATTTTACACCTAACGAAAACTCTTCAGTATCAAGTAATGTTTACTTTTTAAGAAATATATTAATTTTAGTGTCGTGTTGAAATTGTGATAGAAAAAAATGAGATTGAATAAAATTAAGGGACCAAACATTTTGAAAATACAGATACTAAAATAAACCAAAATTGAAAGTATAAAGACGAAAACGAACATTTTGAAAGTATAGAAACCAAAATGAACTAAAACTAAAAATATAGAAAAACAAAAAATTTTCCGATTTAAAGTGAGACTAAGCTCATTAATCTATAATCAACTTATAATCCTAAATCGAAACAAATCGAAAAGATTTTATCTCTTTTAGGAAGGGAGGTGACATGGGACAAAAAAGGAAAGTAAGGGACGGGGAAAAAGCAATTTTTATAAATTTACCAATAATATTATCTTAGTAAAAGAAATTTATTCGGTGAAAGAACTTTAAAGCGCACCAAAAATATTCCTCATATTTTATTTCTCTTCCTTGCATGGACAGGGAATCATCTACTTTACATAGATGTTCTATTTTGAATAAGCATGAATTAAAATAAAGTTACTAAAATTCCTTTATAACATAATAAAGAATATATCGTTTTTAATCATTTAGAAAAAAAAAACCCCTTCTTTTTCAGTATGTGGCTTTCAAACTATAGTGCATCTTGCCCCCTTTCAAAGTTCAATGATGGCAGCTAACAACTTGGAACAGCACATAATTGACAGAATATGCTTCTTTTTTTCTCCTTTCTTTTTTCTTCGAAATCGTCTCTGATGTATCATCTGTTTGTTGCCAAACATATAAAAAGTTTCAACAGTGCAGTTCTTGATGGTTTCCCTCCAATGGCTTCATCATCTAAAATGACAGTACAGTACAGGCTATTTGTTTTCTCTTTCAGAAGCAAAATCAAACTCAATCGTGATATAATATGCACAAATTATCATGATAACTACTACCAAGCAAGATGGTTATTGGGTGTAGTTAACTATAATACAGAGTGTACCAATGGGTCTTGCCACTTCTATACATGGGAATTAGATAATGTTTCTGCACATTGAGATTCTGATACTTGTTTTATAGATTGCTCACCTTAGCTAGGGGGGAAGGTGGAGTTTATTTTTTTACATGTCGTCCATTCAAGTGTATTAACAGCCATGGAATCTGTTTTTACAGGCTCCAAGCCTGCAGAAGCTGCCAGTCGTGTTCCGAGACTTCTTCGGTTGGTAGTTTCTGTTCATGTTTCTGGTTTGGGATTGGACTGATGCCAAAACTGTGCTTCACTGCAAGCTCTTTGTATTCTTGCTTCCTCTTTGACTTCTTTGTGAAAGAAAATGCTCCAGTTATCTTCTTCTGGGGAAAAAGTAGACAACTCTGTAAAAGATGAGTAAATTGAAACATACCCGCAACTCGGGGTTAGATTATGTTCAGGGAGAGAGTAAATGTAGTACCTTGTAAGGTCTACATCTGGCTTCTTCATTGGAATCGAAATGAAAGTCATCTTCATTCACCAAGACACATGCTTCATCTAGTTTCGCCTCATCTGCATGTTGAATGTTCTCTATTCCATGTTCAAGGATAGTGGCATCATGCTCAATTTCATCAATACTCCAAGCATCTGATCTTCCTGTGTAAAATAAAGAATCCATCCATGTTTGTCAGTCACTAAAATAAAATAAAATCATCATTGCAGAAAGAGTGTAACAAAGTAGAGTTACTTGAATGATACTATTTCATATTTGTATTTTTGATAAAATATGATCGGTCTTTCACGGTTTTACCATGAAGGCTCGATCTCTAAATCCTTGATTGTTAATGACTGTACGACCAGGGGGTGTTGGAACTACTCGAGAAATGTGCAGCGAGTTGCCAGTCTGCCAGACAGTTAGTTGATTGCCTTTTGTTTTCGGGGCTAAAGTGCACCACAAAGACAAACAATTTATGTAGGCTTGTAATAGCTAAAACAGAGGTAAGAAATATGAAAAAGGAAGAAGAAAGAAGAAAACCCAATTCCTAAAAGATAAGTCCCTATGTTGAAATCAAAGCTTAAGTGAGTTGATGGGATGGGGATGGTCTGGTTGGCCCAAGTCTATGAGTTTACCAGCATCTTTCATGACTTTTTTTATGCTGAAAAATTATTACAATCAGCATCAAAAAGTTCCCCCATCACACGAAAAGCTAAAAAATCGGGTGGCTTTAAACCAAAATGAAACATGCTGATTTCCTCATCAGGATAGCCATTAAACTACCTACACATTTTCATTCAGAGAGGATTCTCTCTCTGTGATTGCCCCATCAATGGTTGAAATATCTCCAGCTGCCAAGCAAGAACAAGAGAAAATATGACATAATAAGTCAGAAGATATCATTACCATCTAACTCAGCTGACGAATCACCATAGGATAAAAGTCTCGTCTCCTTTTCATTGTCCCCAGTGGATTTTGACGAAATGCCAGCTGATAAGTTATTGCTTTGAATTTCAGTCTCATTAGAAATTTGCATCACTGAATCACACCTTGTGTCTTTGACCAACAATGGGCCTGCAATATCACCTGCGAGTTCGCTCGAATTTTCACATTCACTATTTGAAATTGCACAGCATGATGATGCATCATTTGCATATTTCCACACAAGGTTTGTTGAAGAAGTCTCAGTAAGACACTTGCATCCTTCTGATGTAGATTCTCTTCCATCAAGTCCTAGCTTATCATGTATATCCTCATCATCTTTTTTTCTGGAATATCCATCAATATGAACTCTGTTAGCAGAATATGGAGATGATACCAAGTGGGGATTATCAGCATGGTGATGTCCATGTGGCAGCTTATGGATAATCTCTCTTTTGGTATCAGAAGTTACTTTTGAGTTCTTAGTTGACTTTTCTTCATCAAATTTCGGACGCTCTATCTTCATACTCATCACTGGTTTCTTGCATATAACAACATTTTCATGTCGGTCAGGAGCTGAATTAACTGCCACCTTCTCATCATTCAATGCAGATGGGGGAAGTAAATCTTGTACGACTTCAGAATAGAACTTTTTGACGCTGGCCCCAACTACTTCCACCTGATTCTCAACATATTTAACAGTATCCTGTCTCGAGATCAGGAGAAAAGAGTAGACCAAGTTAATGGGAGAGTGACATCTTCAAACAAGAAACAAAATTGAAATTACACAGACAGCAGAATCAGACAAGGAATGATATGAAAGAAAGAGGAGGAGATGGAGTAGACAGCTGAATCAAAATGCATACCTGACATATAATGTCTTCTACCTCCAGGCACATAGTTTCGAACTTTTGGTACAAACGGCCAACCCAAGCAATGCCTTTTACATCCATCGCGAGTTCAAATTTAACCACTCGGAAGAAACTGCTGACAGCCTTCTTGAGTGATTTAATGATATTAACAGCTCCTCAATTGCCAATCCCGACAATAAGATGATACTACTCTGTTCTGCAAGATGTATCATATAATTTAGAAAAGCACCAAAATCGGTGGGCCTTAATATACCATTAACGTAAGATATTTTTCTGATAGATGGTCAAAGATCATATCCAGTCCAATATTGTAACTAAATAAGTTGCTAAACTAGCTAATTCATATTGTAATAGGTCCGAAATACCAGTTTCACAAGAATAACAAAACCACAGGCAATTATTGTGATAATAGAATTATTAAATATAAAATATAAAAAAAGAATCAAAATAAAACGGCAAAAATGAAGTCAGCAATTTTAACAACTTGTTAATAAACACTTCAAAATCAGATTAATGAAATAAGAATCAGAAACAACAAACAAAACATAAAGTCCTTGTTATTTCAATGCTACCACATTTGATTCTGAAGAGCAAGACCAGCGTAAATCCTAAAAATACGTGATTAAAGCTTTAAGATAGACAGGATCATCTGAGCTAAAACGAACACCATCTAGCAAAAGTAGTGGTATGATACAGACTACAGATCAAATAATCCAGCAGAATAAGTTGTAACTACCTCATCACAATATCAATTAAAATGCAAGCCTAAGCCATGACCTTTACACATAACCATAAACCGAAAATTGAAGGGCTATCCGGGAGCTATTCTTAAGACATGTTTAGGGAACTATCTTTTTGTGAGTTGTTTTCTCTGGTACTATTTGATTTGCTCTTACAGATTACTTGCGTTTAGAACAAGTGAAATTATTCCTTCGAAAATCATGGGCTTTTGAACGGTAATTTCAAACGCACTATAAACTTAAAAAGCCATCTAAAACAGCCTTCAAAAGCAAAATTGGAGGCAAAAGCAGAAATAGAGTGTCGAGATATTTTGTGTGTTTGGACCTTTAAGATGTCATTTTTTTGCATTATGCGTGATAAAAACAACAAAAACTCATCATAAGGAAGGAACATAATTGTGTGTTTTCGGAAGCCTTGAGGTTAGGGGAAATCTATCAACCAAAGCACATAATGAGCACTTAGGAAGTTCTTTCAATATCATACATGTGCAATTGTCATATTGTCATAAAAGATAACCAATTTGATGAGAGAAACCCCTCTAACTCTCATAACTAATTCTGTTTCTCAACATGAATTTTCAATATACTGTTGCCACAATCTGAATACCGGCAGCGATACGTTTGGTTTCATTAAACATTTGTCTGGGAGGTGTCAGGAAACACATAGAGATGGGGAATTTTGGTTGGAACGAAGGAGGAAGAACCCTTCATTATTTCCTTCGACAGCAAAAGTTTTCCCTCAAACCAGAGCATCAAACTCAAAACACCAACATCTCAAAAATAATTATAGCTAACTGCAGTAATTGTGCAGAAAACTCACTCTAATCCTCAATAATTCATAAATGTAAATGTAAGCCGTAAATTTTGGTACTTAAAAATATAATCAGCCCCAAAAATGGCCTACCCACTATAAGAAAAGGGTCAGAAACAAAGTTCTTGGAGAGAATTTCGAGAAAACTCCAGCCAGATTCACAGTGATCATCAAAATTATCTCAAAAACCACATTTCAATCAACAAAGAGGACTGCAATACAATAAGATAACATATCATCTCGATTACCAAGTAAAAATGAAGCTGAACAAAATACAAAAGTGGCAAACTTAATCAAACAAAAGTCAAATAATCGGGGAAGAAAAAAGTTCATAAACAATAGTAAGATAAGAACAAGGCGATGAATAGAGCGAAACAATAAGGTTTAGTTGCCGACCCTTGAAGCTTCAGAAATTTGTAATTGCAGAATACGGTCAATATTCGATACCCAGAAGCCTAAAGCTTAAGAAGGCGATTAAATTTTGCATAAGCCTCACAGTTTGGCTTTCGGAAGCCCAAAAGTAAGAATATCGGGACGAGAAAGCAAACGGGGGAAAGAGGAGAGAGAAACGTAGAAGGGTAGTTTGAGGAAATTCCTATACCCTTAGAGTCTGCCACGTGTCAAGACAAGATAGAATGAAAATTCTATCATTCTCTGGAACTTTGGGTTATATACAAATTTTATGCATGCAAGTTTAGAAATTGATTTTTGGAAATATTTCTCTCAACTAAAAAAAGTATTACTTGCGTCCTTAAGATTTAAAGTTCGAATCTCCGATCCGTTTTTTAACTTAACATAAATGGAAAAACAAAAAAACAACAAAAAAGGAAGTTAATTTTATAAATTTAGATAGGGTTAAAGTTCTAACTTGAAACATAGTTATTGTTGGAGCAGTCATTTTTTTGTTAAATTGTAAATTAAATTGTTTTGCAAGAAAACTACTTCCTTATTCTTAGGGATCACAACCTGAATTCATCAATATTCGCAGCATAAAACAGATAAATACTATTATTATTTTATTCATTCCAAAAACTGTTTCCAAAAAATATCCACCAATACAAACCCTAAACTCTTGATAATTATTCATAGCAGCAGACAGCAAACCTACGCTGTTTTCAAGAGTTGTTTGTTGAACCGTCCACACAGCAAGATAAAACTTGTGAGAAATAAAAATTTTCATGATGTTCCATATTCCCTTTTGTCTCTTTACTTGAGCTTCATCACAGTTAATCTTTTTAAACTGCTGAGTTTATGGTAAAATCACATAATTTTTGGATCACTCTTTATTGGCAACTCTCCAAGCCTAATCTCACAACTAGGTTAAACAACAGTACATGAAATCTCTGAACTGTAAAGTGAAGCCTAAGCAATTCGTAGCGCGGAATCTACTGAAAACAGAAGATCAATAGGGTATTTGAGAATGTACAAGTTCCATGTCACAGTCCACATGTCACCCAGCTGTCTGGAAATCCCCGAAGTCATCATCAGGTACATCGAGTGTGCTTTGAGCTTCAGCAGGATTGGAGTCTTCTTTTGCTGGTTCTGAGGTCTTGTGCTTAGAAGGTTCTTCCAGATTGATATTTGGTGGTAAATTTGTTGGAGATTTCTGAGCTTCAACAGGTGAAAGTGGTGATAGGGGAGGTGGAGGTGGTTTGATACAAAAAATGGACTCTTTTTTTGTGCTGCCATCTTCTTCTGATGAGGAAACTTTCACATCCAGCTCAGAGCACTTCTTGATGTTGCTAGTGCTTTTCTGTTGGCAACAAAAAGAAAATATGTAAAGATAAAATCAATCACAATGAAGCAACGAACAAGTAGAATCAGTCATCATTGAAATGGAAATCGGCTTACTTTGCTTTTTAATTGAAGTACTATAGTCTCGCCATCTTTCAGACTGTAATCAACTGAGGATGTGTTCTGGAACTGTTGTTCCATCTCTTCTGCACTCTTCTTTTTATTGAGATATCTTTTTTCAAAAAATTATATAAAAAGTTCATTAGGTTTACTGATATGGTAGATCATGTCATCGCTAAAAGATGCAATTATACTTCAAACTTCACAAGCAAGTTCTATTTTTTGGATGACCAAGTACATGAAAATGGAATAATTGCAGAGTAGAAGGAAGTCTACTTCATATGATCATGCAAAGCTGCTTGGAAGTCATAAGCCTCAGTTCTTTCCCGAAATCCTATGCCAATAAATGCATGCCGACGGCGACCACCTGCATAGTTTTTCTTTTCACAGTTAGTAATTATCCATTGGAACACTTCGTGGTTTTCTTTTTTGTCACCGTGAAGTTTCACCTTAGCTAACATAAGACCAAGTGAAGAGGGAAAAAAATGAATTACTTAATTGGCCAAAGACTGAAAATGACACAAAAAGGTGAAGCATTAAGTTACTATATTACAATGAATTGAGATAATTAAAAGTCAATGGAAAATGTGGGCGAGAGAGACAGCCAGCTCACCAATATTCTCTTCTACGCGAAGAACAAAATACCTGCAACAATTGAACATTACATCAGACATCTTTAAATATAGCGTTAAGACAAGATAAAGATGTAGACAAATATATCCAGCTGAACTGAACTTCTAACTTAGACACTGACTACGATAGCAGTTAACTACTAGTACTAGCAAGCTCAACAAAACTTACAATTTAGACATAAAAGGTTAGGCCAACAAAGAATGTTGGTATATCGATTAGACTTCAATTAAAAATGAAATCAACCTGCTGCTATCAATTACAGTTTCAACTGGATGCTGTTCTCCATCTCTTAAGAATGCCCGAGCATATAATTCACCTATTATAATAATTATCAGCCGGTTAGTCTTTAGAAACACACCAAATATACCTCAACTGCAATAATATAATTCACCTACCATTTCAATACTACAGATCCACAATACTTCTTTTGTAGCAACTAAGAGATAATCTCACCTGTTTGTTTCTTGTTAAACAAACAAACAAAAAGAGAGAGAGAGAGAGAGAGAGAGAGAGATAATCTCACCTGTGCTCTTGTCTTCAAGTCTGATAATGCATTCTTCCCCCTTGCTCACGACTTTCAGTTTTCCCTCCCAGGCCCATTTATTCACATCCCACTCATCAGCCCTTATAAGAGCACATGTGGAAAACTAAGTCATAAATGGCGAGCATACACAGTGGATTTTTAAAATATTAAACATGATTTAAAGTATTTATTCATTAAGCATCGGAAAATGACACATTTTCCATACTAAAGTATTTATTCTTCACAGCTAGGGCATAAACCCAAAAATATATATAGTATGCAAAAAAGAAGTATGAACTATTCTGTTACGAACTATTCTACAGCTAAAGTTATCTGTTTATAATGTAATAAACAGATAACTTCTTTTTAATAAAAACCGATATTTCATTGTAAAACGAAATTATACAATAAATAGATTACTTTATTTTCATTTTCATTGTTTTTTCCTTTTCTTTTGGGGTAGGGCTTGAGATTCTAAAAATTTGGAAGGTAAGGAACCTTTTTAATACAGCTCTTATTGTTTATTCACTCAGTATAACCGTTAAGATCATAATGACTGAGAGTTAGAAACATCAGCTCTGTGACAATTGAGTGCTAACAGCTCTTATTGTTTATTGTCCCTTCAGTTCTAAAGTGTGGTCCTTTGTGTTCCCATTATTCAATATCTGTTGGTGTTAACAGGCCCTACAATAGATAATAACGAATGGCTACTGTGCGGGCATAGCTTTAAGGAAAAGGCCAAGACTTTGTGGCCAATGCAATAAAAGATCTTATATGAGGATATTGAAAAGAACATAAGACTCTTCAAAGATAAGTCCACGCCTTGGGGAAAATTTTTAGATCTAGCTAAATTCCAGGCATCTAGTTAGTGTTCCAAATTCATATTGTAATTATACTCTCTTTGTAATATTATCTTAAATTGGAATAATAACAAACAAGTCAGCAGCCGATATATTTATATTGGAAACTAAGTAACGAAATCATCAATTTGATCTAGGGGAAATAATATTAGTCAACAACAAAGTTTCTGTACAATATCAAGATCATATTGCAATTTACAGTTATATCCATTGACCATTGCTATCAAGGAACAATTAAAACCTGTAGGAAGCTGCACTTTTTCTTGGGGGTATCTGCAGAAAATCAAAAACATCAGATTAAGGACTTTAAAAAAGATCAATCTAATTGAAGATTATATGTCCAGTAGAACCTAATATTATCACACACTCGAAAATAACTTGTGTTTTTACGTTACACAGAAGTGAAAACCCAGCGGATGCAGCACACTAGCTTTTTCACGTTCTACGCAAAAACATAAATTCCACAGAGAGAGCAAATGTGGATGCAGAAACATAGCAACACAAATTACACGCACCAACAAAACATCAAAAGCAACAACATACATATTCATTACTCAGATATGTCAATTTCACGATTTACAAAAGTAGAGCGTAAGCACAACAAAAACTCTTCAGAAATGGAAGACATTGCTACAGCAAATGCACCAAAAAGGCCAAACATGATACCAGCAAGAGAACATAATGAACTGTGGTGCTAGCAACTACTGCACGTCCGAATAGTGACAAAAGAAGTCCACAGAAAGCTTAGATTTCTGCATCATAAGTAAAAACTTGGATTTATATGAGATGCGTACTCGGCTTAGGCATAATCTACTTACCAAATAGACATAACATTCAGAAACTTGAAAGAGAACAATCTCAATTGCTTCATTCTCCTCGTGATCCTCCTTGACTGCTTGATCGTTCGCCGTCTTCTGCTGCTCCTCCATGGAGAAAAAGAAGGAGATTCAAGAGATCGTGAGATCAAGATCGAGATCAGAGAACTACGACAAGCAATCCCCTGAGATTAAACCCGGCTTTGAGAAAATTGAAACAAATAAAGTAATTTCTTGTAAATTAAGAATGAGCAGAGAAATTGGATATGGAAAGAAACTGGTAGCCAGGAGGAACGAATCGCCTTCAGTTCCCTTCTCTGCTTCGAAGAAGATTGAAGAATCGGGTACAGACGAAGCCGGAAGGCACCCATAATCCAGTGCGTCCGGTATCATTTGCAACCGTGTAGCAGAGCAAAAATCAACCGTTCGATCATGACGTGTCATTGTAGTCATGTCATGGGAGAAACGGTGATTGATTGGGTTGGGATTAGAAAGTCTAACAAATTGACGGTCCAGATGAAGAGGACTTTTAATAATATGAGTCTAATATTAAATATCGTCTGGATTAATTTTTGTTTCTTATTTTTTTAATGAAAAATAAAATAAGGTCTGGATAATTCATGTTCAGATTTTAGAAAAGTAAAAGGCAATATTCAGATGGTTGGAATAGAACACCAAACTATTGGAGTGGTTTGGAAGATATTAACAGGGTAAATACAATTATACTGTAAAGTAGATCAAAATAATCATAATCAATGTGGTTTATGTATATGATTAGAAAAAATCATTAAAACCGTTTTAGGATTACCCATTTTACTCGTTAAATAGCAAAACAATTTGCAGAGCACTTGAGATTAATTTTTTAGCATCTTCTTGTAAGGGGTATGAAAATTTTTCTATACTACCTTCCTTCATTTAATTTTTGGCTATTGAAGCCGTATTTAAAAATAATGCCGACCCTATTAGATAAAATAATATATTACTTTATAATGAGTCAAAATGTGAATGAAACGAGTAAGTAAAATAGTGTAGTCAAGGTATCGATTATAATACTAACAACATTTCGAGGAGAAAAAACATTTTATTTAATTTTTTTTCTTTTCTGTATTAGGAACAGTGTTTCATTCAATAATAGTTTCTTTCAATTATTGTAAATACTCTCAAACTCAATATTACATATTCATTATCAGTTTTAATTATGTGGGCAACTTTTTTACCCAGGCATCGAGAAGTTAGACAACTTTTTTTACCTCCTAAGTGAAAAGTAAACTTTCATATAAATAACATTGGGTATTCATAGTGTCGATCCAGCTTACGCACACCTCAACTAATCTCACGAAACAACCGCATGACCCTACAATATTTGATGCCGGGAAACACATAGGAATTACTAATTCCTAAAGTAGGTTGTATTATAGAGAACAATGAGCATTCTTGCCTAGAAAATAAAATGAAGACTAGGCTAGGGTGGCAATGCAGAATAGGAAAGGGCCGAGCTGACTGATACGTGCCCAATTCTACAAATTCTCATATTAGAAAGACATGAATCAAAGAACAAGCAATTAATATGAAGACTTGAAGCAAATTCTCATATCAAATTTCTTGTGTTGTATAAAATTGTCTTTTTAAGTAGCATTGAATTTGTAATGTAGCAATGAAGTTTCAACATGTAGATGGTAGCAAGCATTAAAGTGGAACGGTTGCTGTCACTGTAACATGTCTTGGGTCTGTGAGTTTTGATCTCACATTCACAAATCCAATCTCTCTCATTCTTCCTTCCAAATCAGTGAGGTGATACTCATCTAGATAAGGCTCTGTGCTTTTTAGTAATGTAAACAACACCGGAGACAATTCCTGTAACAACACAGAACAAAATGTATATAAAGATTTCAGAATTTTCTTTTATCCTATGAAGCATATAGCAGGGAAAGCCAATGTTTTCTTGTTTTCATCAAAATCATACCTGAACCGCCTTTGATTTGGGCTGCACAAGAGAGCAAATGCAGTATTAGACTTGTTATGCTGCAGCAGCTGAGTTTCTATTATTCATATTGAGACATAAATGCATTGACAGCTTACCGCTTGGTCAGTAACTACAAATTCGCCACCGGGTCGAAGAAGCCGAAATGATTCCTTGAGAATACTGACTATTGCTACTTGGGGACATTCATGGAACTGAAATAGTATAGACAAGAATCATGTAGAAAGTAAGGGTCCGTTTGATAACGTTCCCGTTTATTGTTTCTCGTTTCTAATTTTCTTAAGAAATCTTGGCATTTTACAATTAAATTTGTTTTTTGTTTCTCCTTTTTGGAAACATTGTCACAATTGTATAGAAATTTTTTGGAAACAATCAAAACAAGTTTCTCATTTCTTGTTCTCATTTCCAATTTGTTCCAAAACATCGATAAAACAATTGTTTTATCATACTTGAATTTTTGGAGGTTTGAACCATGCAATACATTTTTCTTTAGAAACAAGAAACAGGAACGTTACCAAACGAACCCTAAATTTCCACATAACTGCACAAGCACCATGAGGAACTTAATGTCGTCCCAATCTTGATCCTTTCTAATCCAAATGTTATCCAAAACCTCATTGGCTACAAGGATAGAGTCTCTAATCTGCTTTTACTGGAAATAGTGATTAGGAGAAAAAATCTTAGTTCTAAGTGTAAGGGCTCTAGAGATGAGTTTGCAGATAAGATTAATCAATCTAATGGGGTTTTTTTCTCTAGAAGCGATCGAAATAAGATATTCTTTAAATTATCATTTAGAAATCCAATTTTCAAAAAGGATTTGCAAATTTTTACTTTCTTCAGATTCCATTTTCACGCCCAATTCTTGTTTTAGCCTAACCACTTTTGGTCCTAAACATATTTTTAATCCTAGTGTTACAAATAAACTGGGTTCTTCTAATCCTAATCTTCACTCAAATTTTCTACTTGGCGGGAACTTCTAATAGTAAAATAAATAGATAGCATTGGAGTTATCATATATAGCAACTTCAGAATAAGCATGGTTTTCTACTCTGTCCCACCACATTCAGTACATATGGCATCTCCAAGAGAAATTTCTTAGGACGTTTGATCAGAGAAGAATTCTTACCATAAAAGCAATGGAAACTAGGTCGAATGATCTTGAAGGCAAGCTACTATTTTCTGCATTTCCATGTAACCATCTTATCGAATTCTTTCTTGGAGCGCTTTTCTTGTCCATGTATTGAGCCACCGCAAGGAAGTAAGGAGACAAATCAAGCCCCTACAACCAAATGAATTCAACCTCAAACATTACTCCAAATTGAACATTTACCATCTATGCAAGCCTCAAACAAGTTTAAGCTCTCGTCCCATTATTAGGAGGTTTTGTTCATTTGGAGGGAGCTAAAGGAGAGTAAATTTACTTACGGTCACTTTGGCTAGGGGAAACTTGTCAGCTAGTTGCCTTGTACTTAAACCTACCGAACAACCAATATCAAGAATGTCTAGAATAGGATTTTCTGAATATTGTAGATGATGCTCTTCAATCGTACGAAGCCAATTTCCAAACACTATTTCCTTTGCTTCATCTACTGAAGAGGCATCGGGTACTGCTCGCATAATCATTGACATGGTTGCGGGCTCTGCTTCTGCTGCAGCCTACCAAGGAACATATATACGACTTACATACATAGCTTGTATTTACTTATCAAACTTAAAACTTTTCTTAGAAGATATCATCTAAACAAGACAATATCAATTGGTAGCATCTATAATCTATTTATCACAGAGTCAATCTACGGACTTCTGTTGCATATGTTCTGTAAGGTGACAGGTGACTACTTACAAGCCATGAAAGATGACCCTCATCGTATGCATGGAAAGGCTTCAGGTAATCTGTTCAAAAAGAAGCAATCAATTTTGATTAATTACAAAACAAGTTTTCAAAAACTCCAAATGTAACTGGTAAATAAAAAAAGGGTTTGAAAAGATCCCATGATACAAGAATTAAGTATATATAGCTCTGTTTATCCACAGTTGCACCAAATGATGTCTTTAACCCTTTCGCGCTGGGAGATGTCTAACTACTAAATCTTATTTTTCCTTCAAAAAGGTGTGAGAATGTTGGATAGGAAACAAGATGATATTGGTGCAACTTACCATGACAGAACATCCCAAAACAAATAAAAAACTTATAATGGTCTTCTGCAAGCATTAACTTGATAATCTTAAGACATTGAACTTAGGCGACTAGTCCTGTAATCGAACAAACTATTTTAATGATAATTTCTGAAACTCAAATCCACAGTCCAAAGGAAATCAAAAACACGTTAATGCAATGAAATAATAGTAGATGAAGAAATTAGGAGATTACAGTCGGGGTAAACAATTGAGAGATCTTGAACGCTGTCGAGCTCCTTGTAAACGTCAGAGTCCAAAATCTCAGAAGTCATTTTTCGCCATGGAATGTTCTTCTTCTCCGCTGTACTGCTCGAACCCACATGCCAAAACTACATTACAACCCAGAACCAGAAAACTAAAAAGCCAAACCTAAAACGAAAACGAAGTTCCCCAAAAGAAGTGTACACAATGTAGACCTGATCAAGACTCGTCTGGCACCGAGCTTAAGAAGGGAAAAGAGGGGTTTGAAGGAAATTAGAGCGCCCACAAGCCGCGACAGAGATGTCTCTCCGGACCAATTTGGACGCTCCAATTTTCCCTCTTCGAACACCGCCATTTCAGACCTCGCCGATCTCTGAAATTCTATCAAGCCCCTCTTGCTGCTTCTTAGCCGTCCGATTCTCCGGTGACCATTGCCGGAGGTTAAAGCGATCCGGTAACTCGGTCCGCACAATGCCATTGGAGGTAATCGACTCGCCGGTGACCCCTCGCAAGTTTTGGAAGAAGTGAAAGAAGAAGAACAGAGGAAAACAGCCGCGTATCTCTCGTCATATGAACCGTTCTATCATATTATGACACGTGGATATTCATCAGGATTCTCTTATCCATTCAATTTACTAAAATTGTAATAAACAAGCCCATGTTATGCTTATGGTTGATGTTTTTAATACTATTGTCTGTTCTTTTTCCTTATAATATTCCCAATATGAATGTTTGAGTTAAAAATCTTTCAAGTAGAGAGCTGGAAATTAAAGATTTAGGATAAGCAAAAAAAAAAAGATATTACTAAGAAATTGTAGATAGAGTTGGTAATAAGTTAAAAAGATTATGAATGCAATGAAGTTGATGATATTGATATTTTTTATGCTAGTATTGTTCGAAATCTTAGGTATGTTATGGTATGTATCAAGTGTTGTTAGAAGATTTTTTGTTCGTATTTACGTTCCACACTTGTATTTTGTGTCTTCTTCTTACCTTAATTTTCATTTCTCTAAAGTTTAAAACACATATATATCAATCCGTCATACATATGTTTTTAATTTTGTGTATGATTAAAATTTTTTAATTTAATACTTACAAAATTTTTATTATTTAGTATAAATTAATAAATTCATCATTAAGTTTCATTTCAATGTAAGATCAAATAAGAGACTAATATAAATAAATGTGTAATGCAGTACACATAGAATGCACTAACCACAAGAATTCTCACTTATACGGTAAATATTCAAAATAATAATAATAATAATAATAATAACTCAATTAACTAATAATTAATTATTTTTATTTTTTAAAAAAGGAAATAATATATCAATTTAGTCATGATTCAGATTACTAATATTAAAATGTTAATATTAAATTCGAATTACAAATTAAAAGAAACAAAGAAAGAGAATTAATGAATGATGGCTCTAATATGAGCATAGTTCACATCTCCAAATGGTGGTACATTTTACCTCTATTTCCAAAATTATTTTTAATACTTTAAAACAGATTTTTTTTTTCTGAGAAAGATATGTTTAAACCGATTAAATGATGATGAGGTTATAAAAGTTATGTCAACTTAATTTTATTAACTGGATCTACCGATCTATTACATATCACTGATTTTGATATATAATTTGGTTTAAAGTGTAGTTGATTTACCCATCTTTATTTTGTCCTTTTGGTCTATTCCCTTACGTAACATGGTGTTAAATATCATCCTTAATTTAATGGATGTGTCACATCAACATTTTGAAAGTAATGAAATTAACAATTTGATAACTTTAATTGATATTAGAAATTGTAACTTAACACAGTTTCTTTATGTAGGCTCACTGGCCCACACAAGAGTCGGCCCACACAAGAGTTTCCTATCCTTCTACTAGAAGAAATTCATTTTTTCACTGAGTTTACTTTTTTTTTTTTTTTTACACTCAAGATTTTTTAAATGTCGGTACCAATAAAGATGTTCATAAAAAATATTTAAATTAACAAATAAGTATTTCACCGCTTTTAATTAAATTTAAAATGATTAATACTATGTCTATATAACAGTGATATTTTGTTGACATTTTTCATATTTTGTCGATTTTTTACAATATTATGAAAACATCAATTTACTGCTTATAACAATGTCGGGCCCATGAACGCCGGAGATGTCGACATGTTGTCGGAAATTTATTACCCGGGGTATACTACACAAGCTCACTTTTTTATTTGAAACCACTTAACATAGTTTTACTTCAAGAAGCTAATAGTGTTTCAATGGGGAACGGTTGCTGTCACTGTAACATGTCTGGGGTCTGTTAGCCTTGATTTCACATTCACAAATCCAACTTCTCTCATTCTTCCTTCCAGATCAGTCAGGTAGTACTCATCAAGATATGGCTCTGTGCTTTTCAGTAATGTGAATATGATTGGAGATAATTCCTGTAACATTTTCAATGCAGAAGGTAGAATGAATTGATAGCCATTTCAGAAGAAAGCAATTCATTCATTGAAGCATATTAGTAGCTAAATCCAATATCAAGGAGGATTTTAACTTTTAAGTACCTGAGTAATCTTTGATTTGGGCTGCAGATGAGAGCAGATGTGATATTAGATTTATTATATAGTCCATGGATTTTTTTTATTAATCTAAAACATATATGTATTCTCAGCTTACTGCATTATCAGTAATGGCAATTGTGCCACCAGGCCGAAGAAGTCGAAATGATTCCTTGAGCAGATTGACTATTGCTACTTGGGGACATTCATGGAACTGAAATATTAGACAAGAGAGCCATGGAAGTAAGTTTTCACATAAGTGTAGTGATTCGATCACTTGTGTTTTATTTTTATCTCATTCCCAGTTACGAGATTGTAGAAAGTTTTTCAATTGGCAGAAATAAAAGAGAAGTTTATTAGAAAACTTGGATCAATGAAGAATTCTTACCAGATAAGCAATGGAAACTAAGTCAAATGATTGTGAAGGCAGGCTAGTATGTTCCCCATTTTCATGCAACCATCTTATTGCATTCTTTCGTGGAGCTGTTCTTTTCTTTTCCATGTATTGAGCCACAGCAAGGAAGTAAGGAGACAAATCTAGTCCCTAAGCAATTGCATTAAACATCAAACATTGACACGAAACAGAGCATTAACCATATACGCAATGGAAGCCTCAAAGAAGTTGAATGATCTAGAATTGTATTTGTAGTTTTCCATCTAATTTCTAGTAGGCTTTGTAAACTTGGATTTTACTTACAGTGGTTTTAGCCAGTGGAAACTTGTCAGCCAGATACCTTGTACTCAAACCTATGGAACAACCAATGTCTAGAATGTGTAGAATTGGATTTCCTGAATACTGCCTGTGATGCTCATCAACTGTACGAAGCCAATTTCCAAACACTACTTCCTTTGCTTCATCTAATGAAGAGGCCTCGGGTACCGCTCGCATAACCATCGACATTGTTGCAGGCTCTACTTCTGCTGCTGCCTGCAAGGAACATATATGGCTCACAAACATAGCTACTATTTCTTTATCATAATTCACTTTTTCTTAGAAGAGAATATATTATTGGAACAAGACAATAGCAATTGGTAGTATTAGGAGTGTTATCGAGCCCGTTCAGGTCACAAGGTGCAATTCCATAACCGTTTGGGACGGGTCCCATATGAAAAAGTAACATCGTCTGACCTTACTACATTTTGTTGTTAAGAAAACTCGTAGGATATTAAATCTTAGGTAGATGACTACCATGGTTCGAACTCATTCTCCTAAATTCTTTAGAATTGACCTTAGGCTCATTTGAACCAATGGCCAACCCATGATAGCTGCATCTATTGTCAATTGATGATCCGTAAGATGTTTATGGAATTGTATCCAATTATTGCATAGATTTTGTAGAATGAATACTTACAAGCCATGAAAGGTGACCCTCATCATATGCATGGAAAGGCTTCAAGTAATCTGTTAAAAAAGAAACAATACTCTGATTAATTACAGACCAAGATGATATTGGTGCAAAGTAAATGAGCAGGAACAGGGCACCCTGTAACTAATCAAAACTTGTAACGTTACTCAATGGGGATCTAAATCAGGCAACTGATCCTCAAATCGAACAAACCGTTTGTACAACAAGTAGCTAAAAATTGCAATATCTCTTCATGATATCAAATCCACGAGTTTTCAGAAAATTAAAATAAATCAGTCAAGAAATGAGCAAATTACAATCGGGGTAGACAATCGAGAGATTCTGAACGCTTTCCAGCTCCTTGTAAACATCTGCAGACTCCAAAATCTCGGACGTCATTTTTCGCCATGGAATGTTGTTCTTCTCCGCCGTACTGTTGCATCAAATCACAATCCGAAACGCTAATTAAAAGACCCGAAGAAGAAAAGCGATGCAGAGAATATAGAGAGACCTGATCATGACTCGTCTGGCGGCGAGCTTGAGAACGGAGTAGAGTGGTTTAAAGGAAATGAGGGCTCCAACAAGCCGAGAGAGAGGGGTCTCGCCGGACCAATTAGGATGCTCCAAATGTCCCTCCTCGAACACCGTCGCTTTCGACCTCATCGAATCCATTGTGATTCCTCTTGGTCGCGCCGTTCTCCGCTGCCCATTGGCGGAGATTATAGGGAGCTGGAGACTCGGCCCGCGCAACGCCATTAGAGGTGAGCGATTCAGCAGAATTTGGAAGGAGCGGAGCGGAAGAAGACGAAGGAAATAATTTCCATGTCCATGATCGCTTTTTCGTCGCACTTTGAAGGGAAATTGTTAAATAAAGACCACTGGTATTGTGCTGTGTTTGGTATTTTGCTTTTAATAATTCCCAGCTACAGAGTTGTTCTTGTTCTTGTTCTTGTTCTTGATAAGAAATAAGAATAATTTGGGGATTGAAATACGAGAAAATTTTGTGCTTATACGTTATTCCACTGGCACCTTTCATGGGAGTAGGTTGATTCGAGCTGCAACTTTGATGTTGAAGATATTAAAAAAGAAAAAGAATTTGAACTTTGTGGCTGGATTCCAATCGCATTAGATTTCTTATTTAATTTGATGGAGTGTGACAACATGTAAATCTTTTTAAAGTTTTTGTTTATATATTATTATGTAACTGAGTTAAATAGTTATGTTAATTATCTTGGAATTATGTTTGACATGAAAAATTGAATCAATGAATTTATTTACTTTCCAGTGCTTATAACATATTAACACTCATTGATCTAATAGTGTTATATGTTAACATTTAAAGAATGAAAATTTTAGGAGCTAAATAAATATTATTAAAATTTATTTATTAATTTCGTAATGTAACATTTATAAAATGATCAGTTTTGCTACATTTGGAAAGATTTTGTTTGATGATATCTAGTGTAGTATGTCAAAAAATATATAATAGCAATAGTGTAGCAGACATATTTATTTAAGGAGGTTTTGTAGAGATATGTTAATTACCACTTGTTTTGACTATCTGCGATGGTTCTTAAAAAATATGAATTTTTTAAAATTAAAAAATTTTCGTAATACACGTGAATAGAGTTAAGTTGGGCGTGCGCATTACATTTCTTACAAACAGATTTCATCTAAGATGTCGGTTGTGGGTCCCACGTGTGACATGCTTGGGGTGGAAATGGTCTTCAGTAGCCTGGGCTTGCAAATTACTTTGGGCCAGAAAAGAGCCCACCAAATACAGTATATTGGGCCGCAGCCACCTTTCCAGTCATAAAAAACTCTTACAAAATCCAAAAAACCTCGAAATAACATGGTTTCTTGTATGCCTTTCACGTCACTCTAATCCCATTTACAGCCCTCGAGAGGAAAGGGAGTGCAGGAGATGGGGGACAAGAGAAGAAAGGAAAGGGTAATGAAGCTGCACGACCATTGATGCTAGATTCCGTATGAGGTGACATGTCATGTGTGAACAAAATCTTACACCGATGTGATATTCGACCACGTACACTCTAAAGCTTAAGTTAGTACTTAATATAAGCGATGTGTCAAGCCAAGTTTAGTTGAAGGGATAAATATCGTGTACGAAAGCGGACTCTACCTTTAAGAGAAGCATTGTCAAACATCACCTTATGATTACAATGTCCATACTTGTCATTCAACAAATTTTCTACTTTATCAACAAAAGTGACATTATGCCGACTGTTAGGATCTTCCATCAATAGAATCTTCCTTCCAGGTCAGAGCTCCACTTTAGACATATTTGGCTAATTCCTTCCCATCATCAACTAGTCCAAGCCTTAGCTCGGACACATGTTTTGATGCGAGAAGGCCACCTATATACTTTTGGTTTCACCTCTAATCTTGAGTCACATAAATTGAAGCAACGACTCGGTTACTAACTTTTAATTTATATTTATACACTATTAAAAGATACAATGTCGACGCAAGTGAATTCGAAAATACTGGCACAAACATATCAGTAGTATAAATGGTATATCCTTGTACTGTTCTAGTAGAAGGATTATGGGTCATCACTCACTTTTAACCAGACAGACTGTTTCTTGAATCTTATGGACATATGCTATAATCTTCTCAAAGATGGAAAAACCAGCAATCAGCACAAATGGCAGCATTCGCTCACCAGAAATCACCAATGGAAGATGAGCTCGAGGAATTGAAAACCGAAACTCGCCGTCTCTTGTTCGAAAATGTCATAAACGATAACTCTTGCGGATCGGAGAAGTTGTTCAGTACAGATTGGATGGCCTGGTGCACGGAGCTCTCCAGGAACCGCCGCAATTCACTAGTTTCAATGCTTCCTTCTTTGCAGCTGGTTAACACAAACACATTTTTCATTCTGCCGTTTAAGGTTGCAATCTCTGCCCTCTTTATGATCAGGTCAAGAGCATGGAGTGCGCGTCTCAAATCGGGCAGGAGGCCGGGTTTATAATCACAACAAAGCGACGCTCTAATCGAATACGCCACTCCATCTAGTCCATCCTCCTGTTGTTCAACTGTGATTTCGTCGATTTCTTTCGGTATGATATGAACTTCACTAACTTCTGCTGCAGCTCTTTTCAGCACTTTCAAATGGCTGATTACTTCTGCAAGCAGTGTTGCTTTATCCATCTGGTGTTTGGAACACACAAGTCAGCATGATACTCATGGACAAAAAAAAGCATAAAACAAGCTTATACTTCAAAAGGGCTCGACGAAAAAACAAAGCCAAACAACAGAATAGAAGAGATCTTTCATCTTAGCAATTGTCTTGACTTGGGTTTCTGATTTGATGGTCAATACAAATCTGGTAGATGCATTAAATGAGGCAAATTGAGAAGTAACTCAACAGATCCCCTGAGTTGGATGATGTCCTTCACCACCAAAACAAGCTCAATGATGGATTCTTAAATTAGAATCAGTTTCACCATTTCAAAAATTTGTCATTCTCTAGGCAAACCAGACATAACGACCCAGAGCCTAATCAGGACATTTAAGACGTCCTTACCATAAACAGTGTCTTGGACAAATCTCTTTAACAGGAGGAACTGATCGGTTTTCACCAAATCTGTACGAGCTACTATATTATTAAAGACAAAAGCAAAACCCCAATTCAGAGCTCAATCAAATCCCTACTAAAAACGGCAGAAAAGAAAGAGAAAAGAACGAAACCCCACCTTCTTCCCACCGGGCAGGAGGCTCCGAAGACTGCCGAGATGGCCATTGATCCTGGCCCTGCGCCTCCTCTCGGCCTCGCTGTGGTTCTTGAGCGCGGCGGCGCTCCTCTCAGCCGGAACCCCTTTACTCTCCAGCTTCAATGGGGCTTCCACGAGCTCATCCTTCTCGCAATCCAGCACCAATGCGGAAGTTGAGGCCGACCCATTTCTCATTGCCGCCGAGTTAGCGGAAAGCCCATCGTTGGGCCTCTGGAAACAAGAAGTGTAGGAGTAAATCCGGGAAAAGTGCCCCATCAGGGGAGATTGCGGATTTCCGATGGAGAGGAGAAAACAGATCAAAGATGGGGTTTCAGAATGGGAGAATTGGAAGCGACATTGGGGGGCTAACGCGAACAGAGAGTGGGGTTTGTGTTATGGCGAGTGAGTCAGCGTGCAATACGGAAATAGGAATTGGAATTGGAAGAAAAAAAGGAAGAGCAAAAGTCCTGCTCAGGTCACAGTCTCTACTCTGTTATGTGATTTAACAGCGGAACCCATTATCATGTCTGCAACTAAATCATCAGATCGCTTCTGCTCTACACTCTACCTCCAAGGAAATTTTTTTTGACCAATGCCTGAACCAAATCGTATTTTCTTTCCCTTTTTCTTTTCATTATTATAATTTTTTGTTTTCGTAAATCCATTGGTCCACTTGGCATCTATATCATAATCTAATTTGTGTTTTAACATTATAGTTTTCAAATGTTATAGAATTGGAAAAAATTAGGTTGGATTGTAATAATCTGCAATGATTTTGTGAGTTTATAAAGGGTGACTGATCCAAAGTTGGAGAATATAATGAGAACAACATTTACAATTTAGAGGCAATTTTTGCAAAATTTTCAAAGAAAAAAAAGATATTTTGATTCTTAACTTATTTCAAATATTGAACACTATTCAATAGTTACTAGTTAGGTATCTAAGTCTTTATCTATGAGTATACATGTTAAATAGTCTTCTTTATTTGTGACCTAATATGTTCTTTTAAAAAAATTTGATGTTGCTACGTATTTTGGGTGGGTACCACGAATTTTCTATAGAAGAATTCGAATCAACCTGTAGTATAAACTAAATTAGCATCATACTCTAATGCCAAGTTAGAACTTTGAAGGAGCAAATAAGTATATTGAGTTAAGCTTTTGGTAGAAGGTTATGCAACTTGTATGAAAATATCAAGTTTATTTTTATTAAAGAAGCAGTGAAAATGGAGAATGAGAGGCTCTCTTAAACTCGTTACACCATATTTATTTTAAATATTATAGTGGATGGTTTGTTCAGAATTTTTTTTTTATTTTCTTTATTTTAAATAAAACGTTTCAAACAAATAAGAAACATCAAAATAACATTTCTAGCAGTACAAAAAAAAAAATAATTAGATTCATATATTTATTAAGTATAATGGATATGGACCAATACTAACAAATCTTATTTAAACATGAAATACCAAATCTTTGCTACATTTTTTAATGCAATTCATATATTTTATTTATTCTCATTTCCAATCAAGGACAAGTTAGAGTTTTGGAGTAGTTTTAAGATTTAAAGAAAGATATGATGGAAATTAACACAATAAACTAAAAAACAATGAGTTGTAAAGTTTCTCCATTATGACTCACTACTCCTACTTTTACTTGATTTTTAATAATTAACTTCAAGTAAAATCAAATTTATAATTGAAATTAAAAACTAAAATCTACCTCAGATAAACATAACTCAATTAGTTAAAGATATTATTTATCTTTTTAAAACTGGAAGATTTAAATTCGTCCTAAATCATACACACTAAGAACATTAATGGTCATGGAGTTAAGAATAAGTATATAAGAGTTCGTTTGGTAACGTTTTTCTCGTTTTCCTATTTTCTAATTAATTAAACATAATTGTGTTTGGGAACTCTATCTTGTTTCTTGTTTTGTCTTTTTTTTAATTAATTGTTCTTTAAATTTTAAATTTAAAAAATAATATTTTTATTAGAAAATTTTAATTTTTCAAAATAAATATAACAAATTTGTATGTTATATTTATTATGTATTTTTTAGGTAAAAAACCATAAAATAATGCTTTTATCTATATTTTAGAAAAATTATAAATAAAAATAAGAAACAAAAATTTGGTTTCATTGTTTCTAGAATTTTTATACAATTGTATAAATGTTTCTTAAAAATGAGAAATGGAAAAAAAAATAGTTGTCCGTCGTCATGTTTCTTAAATATTAAAAAAACGAGAAAATTACCTAAAGAATCCATTAAAGATTTACATTTAAAAAATTAAACAAGAGGAAAAGGAGCCAAAGCGAGTTTAGCTGGCATATACTTCAAATCAACGGATTGTGCAAAAGAGAATTTGATTGGTTTAATTATATTTTAATTTTTGGAGGTGGGTGACGCCCCACTACAGTTGAAATCTATTTTGGCATTAAGCAAAAGGTGGGAATTGTGGATAATTTAAAGTTGTGTAAAGACAAAAAGCTTAGAGGCAACTCGTGACTTTATAATAAATAATAATAAACCAAGTATAACTATAAAATAAAATTATCACTAAGATTTTTGGAGCCTAATCTCAAATTCAATTGGTGGGAGTGGCTCGCTTAATTAAACAATTAATCAACTTTTGTCTTTCTTTAATTTAATTTAAAGAGCTCGAGGCCTCTGCTGCTACTTCTAAAAAAAGTTTAGGCAACCAAATATTCCCACTCTGTTAAAACTCTGGGCACTTTTTAACTCATGGTTTTGATACACATAGTTTGATAAGCTTGGGATTAAAAGAGGGAGCTTCAAAAGATGATATAAAATATGAATTTTGTATAATATGTTTAAAAAAGTTAATAAGGTATGAAGATTGAGTCAAATAATAGTTTGAGTAATTTAAATTCATAGTAGCATTGTAAAGTTTATGAATGTGTAGTATAAGAGATTAAAAGAAACTCGTAGAATTTCTTAATCTTAGGTTTACACAAATTTAATGGAAAACTTTTAATTGTCAGTTGAATTAAAATTCATCCTATTTATCCTAATTATCGCTAGTGAAAATTAAAAAAAAAATTTATGAATCTAGTCTCCAAAAAAGTAAATAATAACCCCTACTAGTATCACTTTAATCAATTTAATTTAAAACCCCGCATTATTAAAATAAAATTTTACCTCATAAAACCAAATATTATCTACATTCATTTCTAACTTATTTATAAATTATTACTTCCTTCCGACCTAATAAGAACGATAACAACACAAATTTGACAACTTTTAACTTCTTGATTTTATACATTTATTTATTTGGTAAGAACTCTTCTTGACTATCTCAGTTAAAATTGGAATATGAAAGGAAAAATAGAAAATTTCAAAGTGTCAGGACAAAGTTGAAACTCAACGAGAAATGTCAGAAAAAAAATTTGAGATTAAACTCAACAGAGGAAATATTAATTAATAGATGGAGGGTAAAATTAAGGGATTATTTGGGGCATCATAAGTTTGAGCTTAGCATGTCTAATAAAATTTTGTTTAAAGGGCAAGTTTAGAAATTCAAGTCCAGAGAAAAACAATGTGAATGGGGGTAAAAGAGGAAAAAGACACAGTAGATCGACCATATCCGCAATTTATCAATGTTTTAGCTATTTTTCATTAGAGTGGTATGATATGACCACTAACCCAAATTTTCCTAAAATTTTCATACCTAAAACTGTTAAACAAACAGAAATTCTCCACAGCCGTCTGAAACAAATGGGCCGCGAGCCTGTCAAACATTAGTGCCTATTGGGCTGCGGGACGGGGCTGGGCTGGGCCGTGCTTGGGAGGCCCTACGAGTATGAAGACCACGAGGAAGATAAGATTATTGGAATCATGTGATTATTGATTTGATGGAATATTGGGAGATAGGGGTAGATTTGTCCATCCCTGAATTCTAACATGTGGAGAGAAAAATACAGAAATAGATTTATTTTTCGACAAAACTTAATTACTTACAAGTAGTAGTTAAGTATCTCCTACTCATTAGCATTATGCTAAGAGAGATGAAACATAAAAGAAAGCGAAAAATAAAATAGGTAGCTCTCGATTTTTTGTTAAATTATAAAATTATCTCTAAATTTAGTCATTTATTTTAAAAAATATGTTATAAAATACTATTTTTTATCTTTAAATTACTTTAGTTTGTAATGATTTAGTCCATATACTTTCAAGTTGGTAACAAAAACTTTAATATCTAATAACAATTTAGTTACTTTAGTTTAAAGTTTGTAACAACTTAGTATTTGTTGAGGAAAATGTTGGTAATATTTAATATGATTTCTTATATATATAGATCGATAAATTGAAATGAAATAATAAATGTGTTAATAAATTACAAATACATGAGTCCTTATATTATAAAAATCAATACTTAACCATCATGAATTGACTCATTAGTTTAAAGGGTAGATGTAAATCAAAATTATTTAGAGAGAATGAATTAAAACTCTATAATAGGTACCTAATAACACGAATTAATTTTTTATTATCAAATATGGGATGATGAGATTTTTGTGGTAGGAACTAAATTGTTAAAAATTTTAATTTTATCGCCAAAACGAACATAGTTGAACAATTAAATTGTTCTGGATTAAAATTTGAAGTGTAAATTGTTACTTGATTTTGTTTCTAAGAAAATTAAATAATTCCCAAATTTTGAGTGGTAGTAAAGATAAGTAACTTATTGTTTGTTCCAACACCGCGCATGGTTGGATTCAATATGTGGAGAAGATTTTACACGAGAAGCAACACATATAGGGGAAATGATGATTTTGATATCCATTATTACTTGAAGATCAATGTAATAATTTATGAATATTCCCAATAGCACAGTTTCAAAAGAAAAAAAAAAAGCCAAAGACAACAATGGCAATAATTATAAGTTGCATTGCATTTGATTTTATTTGTTGGTATAAAATTGGAAAGATGGATCACTGGCCGGCAGCGAAGGCCTGGACGGGGAAAGTCTTGGTGACACCGGCGAGGCTCTTGAAATGAATCTTCCCGGTGGGCGGGTCGTCGACGGAGATGTCGTTGACCGGCGGCCACAGCAGAAACTCCTTGGCCTTGACTCCCTTCAGCTTCTTAATCCTCTTGTTCAACAAGTACCCAGTGATCTCGGTGTCGTAACTCACCAGTTTGCTGACCATCTTGAACTCGTGCTCCACCTTCTTCCGCTGCAGGATCCACACGTAGCCAGTCTCCTTGACGTAGCCGACCTCCACCACCTCCGCCAGCGGCAGCAGCCCCTCCGGCAGCTCGAATTCCCGGAGAAGAGAAACCGCCAGCTCCAGCCCCTCCTCGTGCCCCTTCTTCACCACCCCGCCTTCCTTCTCCGCCATTTTAATTAATATTCTACTTTAATTAATTTGTTTCTGGTTGGGGGATTTTTATACTTGGGATTCAGTATGGTCGGTTTAATTTGGTCGACGAAATCGAAGTGGCTTTGCTTTGTAACGCTCGCCGAATGAAATCCACGCGTCTCATAATTTCGTCATTTTGTCCCGACTGGGATGGGAAGATCAGCTTTTTCCGTTATTTACGATGCATTTGCATATTGGGTTTTCAATTCAACTAATTTACTGCGTTTAAATAGGTAATAAGTAATTATTATTAAACTTTTAATCTTCTATCTAGCTTGTGGATGCAAAAATCTGTTAAAGGCACAGATCACGAGGAGCGAGGTGGGTGGGCGCTGCTTGCTACCTGCAAGATTGGTAAGCAACTCCGACATCCAAATTAGTTAAGAATTCGAGCTCAGATGGATCCGTTTTATACAGATTTCATACTTGGACTCGTTGGATTGTGGTATATTTATAATGTTTAATGGGGTAGTTACCCGCCCATATGGGTATTTTCATGCTCGCGTCGAGCTCCTTCATGTGACCTCTAGTACATGCTTTTGATCGATTCTCTCTCTGCCTTTAACAATGGAGCCCTATCTAGCTCCTTCATTTTTTACCTAAGTACTAGTCTCGACATAGCTTAAATATATATATTTATATATTAGATATTTTTTAAAAATTTACCAACGAGCTTAATTTAGCGGTAATTAGTGTATATATACATGTTAATTTAACTTTTAATTAATCCAAACGAGAAGAAAATAAATAATTAATAAAGTTAGTTACTATGTAGATATATATATTTTTTAAAATATAGTTACTATATATTAATAGCATCATTAAATAATTCAGTGTTTAATATGATTTGATTTTTGTGTTAAATTTTATTATTGTGCATTTAGAAGTTTGTTATGGACCATGGTGGGGTAGTATTTGATTTAAGTACTTTTGCCTAACCTTTGTCAAAATGAGCATACTTAAAAGTAAACTTTTGATCCATTGCCATCTTGAGCACTAGTTAGGGAATATTTTGTTGACTTTAGATATTCAAATCTTTACTTCAAATTAAAAACAAAAACGAAAAGCAAAAAGTAACTTTTCAATTGAAGGTTATGTATTTAAAATTTAATAAAATGGAAATAGCTTCACTTAATTTAGGACATCACTTAAAATTTAATTGAAATAATTTACGAGTTAGGAAATTTCAAAATTCATAAATGATTATAAATTTTCATATTATATGAAATCGCCGCATTATAACTACAATTTGGTGGATCCAAAACTATATATTAGAAGATATTGATATCAATTTATCAATTTTAGTTATTAGTTTGTGCAATAAAATTTCTAAAAAAAAAGTTTGTGCAATACAAAGTATAATTGTTTTTTCTAATAGAATGAAACTTGAAATAAAAGTAGAATTCTTATTTATTTATAAGAATTATATATTTCTTTTTTGTGATTACTATCTTAAACAGTAATTTATTAAAAATCTAAAAATATTTTTATTGATTTCTATTTATATTTGATATACAAGAATTAAAATATTAATTATTAATTATTAAACCATTAATCTCCAACTTGTCAACTGCTCTAAATTTTGCAAAAGTAAAAAAGAAAAAAAGAAAAATATATATATATTAAAGAACAACTTAATCTTGAAAATTTGTTGATTTAATTTATAGAGAAGAAGAAAAAAGATTGTAACATTCCTTTATGGCAAAGATATTACATATATGCAAGAAACTAACAACAACATATAACTAAAAAGAAAAATGTCTTAAAAGGTTGACTGATCGAGACTCGGACCTTCTTGACCTATAGTAAATCTGTCCCTAGGAGGGAATTTTGGAAACTTGCCTTTCGTTGTTTGGACAAGAAACTTGGAGTCGATTACCAATTTGGTTATCAAATTGTGTGATTAAAAAATGAAGATGACTGCTATAGTTTTATAACTACGTGTTTCTTTTTGCGTATCTTATTTTTAGTCTATTATCTATCTCTTGTTCTTTATTTTTAGTCTATTATCTATCTCTTGTTCTTTATTCTAAATTCTAAAGTATCCAAAATAGAAAACAAGCATATAGTCTATTATCTATCTCATAAATGAATCAATTTTAAATTGACATTTTGAGGGTAGATGAATTAAAAAAATGAATCAATTTTTATTTGAAAAAGCATAGGAGCTGAATTAAAAAAATAAGTTGGCTGAAATAGTATTTAAATTAAAAAAAAAAAAAAAGAAGCAATTGCCCGCCCATTTCCCGCCGGTCTTTCTCATTTGATAACTAACTAAAATTCTGTGAGAGTCCCATTGGCGCGCTAAACAGAACTCGCAACGGAGGAGCGATGGAGAACCGAAAACAGAACACAGAAAGGCTGGGGAAGAAGAAAAGTAAGATCTCACTCGAAGACTACCTCGATTTCTTCTCCTCTAACAACCAGCTTCTCCTCACCGTCAACTATCTTACTCAGGTTCTGATCTCTTCCATCTCCTACATTGTCGATTTCTTTTCTTCCTCGCCAATTTCTCTCGGATCTGCTTCGATTTTCCTTGCTAATTTCTAACATGTTGATCTCACTCTCACCATCTTGTTTACCTCGATGTGCAGATCATTAAGATGCACGGCTACAGGAAAATCAATGCTCAGAAGGTGAGAATTGAGATTGACGAACTAGTGAAACTAATTTGATGTTTCTCGCATTAATCTCGCATGCTTTCTCTTGCTCATTCCTTAGAGTGTATTGAGGGAGGCCGTAAGCGCAATTGATCTGATCAATCCCTCTCGTTCCACGCTCGAAGAGAGCGTCTCATCCTCCGCGTCCATTCCGCTTGAGGACGTAATTTCGGACCTCAAAGACCTCGATTGGCTAGAATGCTGTGCCACGTCGGTTGTTACATTCAGTTCGCGGAGCCAGAATAGCTCCAGTCCGAGTCCGGATCACCAGGAGCCGACTTGTGCCTCAAAGAAGCCGGAAAGAAAACTCCGACGATTGGTAGAACGTCTTGATCAAACGGAGGCCGCCAATGATGGAGTTTCCTCGTCTTGTGCCTCAAAGGACCTGGAAAGGAAATTAGGGCCACAGAGTAAGAGAAAGAAAACAGCAGCTTAAAATGGTGAGAAAGATGGTTCTCTGCCTTCATCAGTCCTCTTTGACTCTGTTTAACTTGGATCGGGCTAGATCCGATGGGATAGCTGACATATGTTTACTTATTTCTGAAACTGTTTCAGTTTGATAATTTTTGCTCGGAAACAGTGGTGTTTTTGTTATTCTACATTTGCAGCATCAGCTTGGTGTATCCTTCATTCATCCATTAAATCCTTCGAGGCACCGCAGCTAAAGGTGAAATCTCTCTGAATTCTTTACTTTTATGACTCAGTGTTTTTACTTCTAGTTCGATCTTGAAAACAGTCTGGAGATACTTTAATAGACAAACCACTCTCAAAGTCAAATAAATAAGTCCCACTCGATAATGAACAAGAAACATCTGAGTTTCCTTGCTCTCTCCCCTGTTCATAAGATGCTGATACGTAAAATGGAACATTATTACTTTCCCAAAGCATGAAAGACAAATTAGTGCCACTGTCGTTTCATATATGGTGGTAGTTCAGCATCAATATTACAAATAATATTTCATATAGATGAGGAAGAGATCGAGATTTCAAGATTCGTAACAAGGTTATAAAAAAAACTAATAAAGAGATAACAAAATTTTCATAATCTATCAGCAACTCGCCCCCAAAAATATTCTTGATTAGCCTTTCGAGTTTTTGGATACGGTGCTAAGGTTTCTATCCAATTTCTTCATCCCACACTGATGCTTCCAACACTGACACTGGCTCTTCTTCTTCAAACCCACCATCTCCTCCCCACCATCCTTTTCAACCTCCACTTCATTTCTAGCTATCCCCGAAACCGATCTCACAAGTTCCGCCGCCGCCGCTTCATGGTCGTCGCTCTCCACCACATCAACAGCCTTCCTCTTTTCCCTACTCTTCCACAACTGTCTCATTCTCTCCCTAACCTCACACACCTGTTCCTCGTGCGGCCCCTCACAAAACCCACACTGCAGATACCGCTTTTTGCCAGATGAACGGACGCTCCTCACTTCTTCGAAACCAAACGCAAGTCTCAAAGCCTCGTTCAAAGAACTGGGTTTCTGTGGAATCATCCATTCCTTAAACTCTCCCCTCAATCCGTCCACAAAAATCGCTTTCAGCAAACCATCCGGAAGTTCATTATCCGGCCATTTCTTCACAATCGATTGCAGCCTCAGAAAATAGGAACGCACCGTCTCCTCCTGCCCTTGATTGATCGCCATAAGCTCGGCTCGCAACTGATCAGCCAGTTCAACTTTGTTATATGCGTCCAAGAAAGAGGACTTCAATTCTTCCCAAGAAAGCGGAGGGTAGGGCTCGATGTTCAAGTCGTACCAAAGAGCGGCCTCACCCTCCAGCGTCACCGGGAAGATCCTCATCATCATGTCGACAGAGGACGCGTTATTCGCGCGGCAGACTTTCGCGAACCTGCTCAAATGCATCGCCGGACACTCGTCGGAGACGCCGTGAAAAATCGGCAACGGCGCAATATTGATGTATGAGGGAGATACGGTTACAGCGCCGGTGGGACGACGCTGCGAGTACAATGGACTGTTGGAGGCCGAGTCCGCAGCAGATGTGTTTAAATCGGAGCCCTTGATTTCTAGGGCTTTCGATTTGGGGTTAACAGATTCAGAGGCATCGTAGTTGTAGTCTGCGCCATCTTCTTCACTGGATGCATAAAGAGATTGAGATTGAGATTGAGATGGCGAAGCGTCGTAGTCGGAAACAGAGTCGGTGTTATGGCGCGGCGGGGAACGCCGGATTTTACGCGCCATCCGAAACTGGAAGCCAAGGGAATGAAGGAGAGAAACCAGAAGACGACGGCTCCGTTCAGAATTTGAACGGTGAAGAAAGACGAAGGAAAGGAAACTGCCCGTTCGCGGACGTTCGTGTTTTTTGGCATTATGGGCCGTGGTTTGTTAGGCCTAGTTGTACACGGCCTTAGCGCAGGATCCAATCCGCCTCGGCATGTCGCTTGTCGTCTGGAAAGAAGTCATCCGACATGGCGCTAGCCTACCTAGCCCTGAAGTTTTTATTTATCCTAGGAGATTTATTTTTTACTTTTTAATTTTTTTAGTACAACATATGATATCGAATTCACAACTTTTTAATTTAAGATATATGTTAATTATCGATGAGTTAGACTCGCTTTGACAACTTTTAAATTTATTTGAATTTAAACTTAACATATTCTCAGAAAACGACCCCACCTTCATGACTTTAAATACTCATATTCATTTTCAAAATATAATTGAACTTCTCATAAATGTTGAATATGAATGTTATAGATTTTGTATTCCATCTTGACGATCCAGACGTCATCTATCATGAAATTTCTTTTATCTCCAAATTTTGTAGGGTCAATTTTTGATTTGTTGTAGGAGTGGTTAAAGAGAAAACTTATTATCTTTGGGTAAATATTATCACAAATTTATTTTTGTTAGTGTCAAAGTCAACGTAGACGAGTAGATAAAACATCGTTTCCTAACATACAACAACAGTTGAACTAAAAAAACTTACTTTTGTAGGTTCCATTTCAATAAATATTTATTAATATTTTACTATTTTTAACTCCATTCATGTTAATCATTTTTTCAAAAAATATATATTTGATATTCATAAACCATATTAATCAAGATATATAATATATGCACAACTAATAGATCGTACTCAAAGTTTGTACTTTTAAAAAGTGATAATTTTGGTTGTTTTTTTGTATCTCATTTTATTTCAATCATAATTTTAGCATAACACTTCACTCATTAAATTTATCGAAATGTAATAAAAAAAATTGTATTAAAGAGTTTCTGTAGTATATTAAATTTGTGTTAAAATTTAAAAAAAAAATGAATAAATTGGCATTTTTTAAAAGTATAAAGACCCTAGTAGAAGATTTGGAAGTACAATAAATCAAATAACCAAAAGTTAAAAGTAGAGTTCAAACTTCAACGTTCGGAAAGAACAAAAACCAAAACTAATCGAAACTCTCAAGGGACCAAAATAAGTATTTATCTCAAAAAGATCAAATTTGATGAATATACAATATATAATAATACTATTGAAACTCAAACAACGTGGGGTGGTGGCGCAGTTGGCTAGCGCGTAGGTCTCATAGCTTATCGTGTGATCCTGAGGTCGAGAGTTCGAGCCTCTCTCACCCCAAATTTTTTTCCTTTTTCTTTTCATTTTCCGCTCTGTATATATAATTAAACTTCCTGCAAAAAAAAAAAAAAAATAATAATAATAATAAAAAATAAAAATGAAGGTATATAAGAAACAAGAACTTCATTTCGAGAAAGTGTTTTGTCCTTTCCCGCGATCACAGAGGCCTCAGCAGCTGGAGCAAGGCCACAAGATATTTTCCCCTCTGTTTTCTTCGGCTTTTATTTTAATTTTGAAAATTATTTCGATAAACGGAAGCCGAGTAGAGAAAATTCTGAAGCAGACCGACCTTCAACCAATCCCCATCTCTAATTCCAATGGCTGTGCTCAACTACATCTCAGCTACCTCGACTCCCATTCCCCAGGATTCTTCAATTACGCCCCCAATACCAGGCCCAAGGCAAACCAAGATCATTCTACCCAAAAAGAAGCCAGAAAAATGGTCCACCGGAGTGTCTCCGGGGGAGTACGGCGGCCCCCCGACGGCGACGAAGCTCCGCAAGTACTGGGGTGGCGAAAAAGAGGACCCTCTAACCTCCGACGACTATATCTGGAATAGAGAATTCATGGGCCGGATGAAAAAATTAATTCAGGACCAACCTAGTGATTCTTCTGTTCAACCCAATAAAGCCAAGGTTTCCCTTTTAATTCGCTTTCTTTCTCCGCTTTTTCTGTTTGTATTATGTTATAGCTCACTGTCATTATGTTAGAATGTTTGGATTTAAGGAACTTTACGGTTCTGTAACATTATCTGTTTTGTGATGCCATGTGTAATATGTTGGTCAATGATAATATGACCGCTGATGACTTGATCTTATTGTATTAGGACGAGCCTTCTGGATTTCTTAGCTTGAATAGAGTCATGACCCTTGATAGGTTGGTTCACATTCATGATTCTATGTTAACTGCAATAACGTTTTCCTTATAATGCTGTCTTTCAGCATTGTAATGTTTCAACTTTCAAATAATGCATGTGTAGTTTGGAAGTTGATCTGAGTAAAGAATTGATGGCCCCTCCTTCAATGCCTCGGTCAGAAAAGTTGGTCGAGGAAAATATTCAGGTATGGTGTAATTATCCCACTCCAAGTTCAAGTATGCTTAGATCTCAAAATATATCTGTTTTGTTACATTCTTTTTCATTAAAACGGTAATGAATGATGGTTCAGATTGATAAGCACAAATCACCCAGATGGAAGTTAGCACCAACAAGGCGCGAGCAAGAGAAGTGGGATAGGGCAAATAAGGCAGCTACTGGAGGAAGTGTAAGTCCTTTGCTTTGACTCCCATGGTTTATCTCTATAGTCTCATCTCAAGATCTACCCTTTCTTATAGTAATATTAAATTGAAATGACGTTAACTTTATGGTTTGATAATTGATTTGAATTTCTTTGGAGATTTAGTAAGCATTGAGGACTTCTAATATTTAGAATGAAATATTTCTTTTAGATGTTACCCTGTTTTGAAGATAAGTTTAATGCTGAACTGTAGGATGTGATGTTTCGAGAATTGAGACGGCCTCGAGGGGATCCAGAAGTATTGGCTTCCTTGTATAGGGAACAGTATTTTAAGGTGCTTTGTTGTAAAATGTCTTCATGCTCTCTACTAACAGTTAAAATCCTGTGAACCATGTATTGAATGTTTTCACCTTCCCTTTTATTCTGTCTTTGCAGTTAAAGAATAAGATGGAAATCTTAACATTGGCAATAGGTGGTGTTGGTTTATTCTCAGCTTATGTTTCTTATTCCCCAGAAGTTGCTGCTAGGTTTGTTCAATATTGATCCTTAATCAAGTTTCTGGTATTCTAGTCATGATGTGGGTGGTTTATTTGATTGAAACATAGACTGCTGCAGGTACATTTAGTTTTAGTAATCAATTTATGCTGCTTACCATTAAGTTGATCTGATAAAATGTTATCCTGGTGGTTATTCATGTGGTTTGTGCTAAAAATGTTCCAAGAAACTTCACTTCTTTTAATCTTTTCTCTTTGACTTCTAAAGTAGAGTAGTCATAAAAGACCCACGACCAGCTCTCAGAAGCAGTTCGGAATATAATTTTTATGCATGCTTCATTCATTATTAAATTGGAGCTTCAAATTCTTCTTTCAAATTTCAACCAAGACCTAAATAGTAGAAATTTATTGCATTTTTTTTTGTCTTACACAAATTCAGACAGTGGTTTTGAAACTGGATCTTTTAAAATGTCATCAAGTAATTTATATTCTTTTGCTTGTGAGTTCACTAGTTGCAAGTATCCAGACGATCTTCTTTTCTTTTTTGGGACAAGAAACAAAACCTTTTACTGAAAAGAGACAACATATTGAAAAAGAGGGGAGGATGATAGATAGGACGTCCTTCCTAATTCAAGGGCTCAAAACAGTCTTCAATTGGTATCAGTAGGAAAAGAGGAGCATTTACAGAAATTCTTGCATAAAGAGGTCCAAGAGGATGCCATAAAAGACATAAGCTCCAAAAGATAAAATATACATACATACATATATATATATATGTACATATATACACATATACATATACATACATACATATATATATAATATATGTATAAAATACTTCTGTTTTATTTCTTACTAGATTTCACATATTAGTGCCTTAATTGCATTCAACCACAAAATGGCCCTAAGAAGATGGTGGAATAAGAGTTAGCAAATTTTCCTTGAGACTTCTTTGGAAATGCTATTGAACCATGTATTCGTGAAATAGGAACCATTAGAGTGAGGAGAAATGGCAATGAAATAAGAGATGATCTGGGTCCTCATTTCTATTTTGGCAAAGGCCTCATTGGTGATCATGCTTATGACATTACGCCTTTTTATGTCTGATTGTAATGGAATTGCTCATTTTCTTCACTTCATTCAAGCGGCAGCTCATATTTCATATCAGTACAGTATACTGATATTTGGATAATATTGTTAAATCGGGATCTGCAACAGAAGTAGAAAGAAAAGAAGAGTGCTGAAGCCTGTGAAATGAGGGAATGGAAATAACCTTACCTCCTTAAGATGCGCATCATCCTCCCAAGATCAAGAATGAATATTTCTTTTTAGGTATAACTTACAATAGAGGAATAATCTCTTTGGTAAAATGAAAACACCCCGATTGGAACTGAAGGGGAGTTCTTATTATTCCCTATTTTGCTTATGGTAACTAAATATGATCCAATATGATTTGTGTGCTGGAATAAATGGACCCTAAAAACCAACCTGCACTTTTTTCTTCATTTTAATTCTTATGTTAGAGATAGTTGATTCCCTGATCTAGGATCTATGAGCTGTTGAAGGAGGCATAAGGACGTTATCAATAGGCATTCATGTAGATGATGTATGTGCTTTTCAAAGTGTGAGGTGCATTGAAGGGGAAAAAAAACGATTATCTTTTAAAGTGCACAATAGAAAAATAGGCTTTAGGACAACATATTTTATTATTTATTTTATAAAAATTAAAAAATAATAAGTAAGTCATGCAGTAACACACACTTCTTGCATGGAGGCTTAGTGAGGGTGCCTCTCTTCAGGAGAGTGACGTCTAGCAGTGAGCCTTCAAAACACTGATTAGTGAAGGACCAGTGTAAGCCATTCTTGAAAATCTCAAGAGCCTGGTAAAATGCTAGTCATTCTCAAGTATCTTAAAAACCAAATTATCATCACTACCACTAATAGTAAGGATATATGGAAAAGTCCGAGGGGTAAAATTCCTAAGAAAGTTGTGATATTTGGCTTGTTGGCTATTTTGGGAGGCCTTAATATGACTGAGACTGTGTAGAGAAGAAATCTTTTTGTCTATATTTCCCCTAGTTGGTGTAGATGTATGAAGAAAGTGGGGAAGGCTTTAACCCCATCACTACAGATGTAAATTTATTTTAAACTTGTTTTCTATGGCTTGGTATGCCCTGAGAGGCTTTAGGCAGCTGAACAATATGAACGTACCCTTTGCATAAGAAAGAGAGAGTTTTTTGGAGAAATGCTATTTGAGGACTTGTGTGGTCTATTTCATTGGAGAGACACTAGAATCTTTGAGGGAGTTGAAAGGGATGTCCTTCAGAGTGATTTCTTATCCCCTTGCCACTATTTTTTTCTTTTGGTGGTTTAACATAAGTCTCTGTTTCCTATTATAAAAAGGGAAAAAGCGGAGTGCTTTGGTCATGAGTTATGAACACTGTTCACCACTTGATCATTCCACCAAACTATTATGGAAGTTGAATTTCTCATAATTAAAGAAAAAATCCTGGCAAGTTAACCACCAGAACTGAAACCAGAATTACCATTTATTCTGAATTAACAATTTATTGAGGATATGGAATGATGTGGTATGATATTTTTTGTTGAAGGATATATTCATTCGTACACTATTTGACATGTCCTTCCCATTTCAGCTTTGGTGCTGGGCTAATTGGTTCTCTAGTGTACATCCGAATGCTGGGAAGTAGTGTGGATTCTCTGGCAGATGGAGCAAAGGGACTTGTCAAGTACGTACTACATACCTTTTTTTTTTTTGTTACAGTTGAGTGCTGATGAATTTCACTCTATAGGAATATGCTAGAACCCATCACTAAAGATATATTTAAATATAGAAGATATAACAACTACAATAACTACAAAGTAATTCGAGGTATATGGATCCTCCCCTTTCTTGCCTATTCTAACTCAAGCCAAAACCACACTCACTAATTTTCTACCTTCATTCTTACCCCCTCCCCGTATTCATAACCAGACCTCTAACCCAATTACTAATATACCCTTCATATCCTAGTGATATCCCAAATTCTATCCCAATAGTAATCCTATCAGAATATATTCTTTCTGATAAGATTATGGTGTAAGCCATAGTGAACTACTATGTTGTTTGTTTAGCATCATTGATCTTAGAACACATTTTTGCGAGATAATCTACTATTCATCTTGCTGATACAGGTGATGGTTTGGAAGTTTTATTTCCATAACAAGAAAATCCATGATTGCAAAACTGACATGGACCATATTATACATTTGTATTGATAATTATTTCTGCTAGAATAATGATATTGTTGCAATTTCATTGCAGGGGAGCCATCGCACAACCCCGGTTACTAGTTCCAGTTATACTGGTGATGGTATATAACCGTTGGAACGGGTAAGTATGCTCACTAGCTTGCTAATTCCAGCATTTTTTCTGTGTGACCATAATCCTCCTATTCACACCCAATTACTGGAACCATTCATTTCTCTTATTCTGAAACTTGAAAATCTTTTAGGAAATGAGACCATACATATTATGAGATGAAAATCCAGTTGTGCACTATTATTATTATTATTATTTTGGAATAATGCCTACTCCTATTCTTGATTGATCTGTACAGATTTTGCATTTAGAATGTGGAATGAACAAAATATTTTAGCAGGCACAACTGAGTCCTAATTAGCCAATATTTATAACCTTTTTTTCCCCCTCTTCTGTAGGATTCTTGTTGAAGATTATGGAGTTATGCAGTTACAGTTGATACCAATGTTAGTTGGATTCTTCACATACAAGGTTGCTACTTTTGTTCAAGCGTTAGAGGAAGCACTTACTGTTACTAAGGACGAACCGCAATCCTGAGTATACATGTGCATATTTTCCCGGTTCAACATTTCCTGTGGTACATAATATTTATACATATACATATATATCTTTGTAAGGTATTCTTTGACCATATTGATTCTTCATCTCTTTGCCCAAACATGAACTTCTATAATTACAAACAGATAAGGCGAAAAAGATAGCAAAGATATGAAATATTTGGTGATAAGATAACACAGCTGAATACACCAACTTATGTCATTTTCTGTTCAATCTGTGTAGCTTTAAGCTGTCCATTGCTGATCAAACCTGACATATTTTGTACTAACAACACTGTAAATGGGTAGGGGTGGAAATTGAAAGGAAAAGAAAATAGAGAAAAGTGGGTAAATTATGGTGGCCCCGATTCTTGAATAAAATGGCATATTAAGATTCCAATGTAGCTTTCTTTGAGGGATAATCATGGTGGGAGGAAAAAAAAAACAAGAAATAAGACAAGTAGGTGAAGATTTTCATCCTAATGATGAAAACAGACGAATAGTATTCTGGTTCAATCATACAAATTGATTTGTCAGATTGGTGATCAGCCCCCTCTTCAACCTGTTCATTCACACCAAATGAAACCAAAACTTACATTTACCCTTATTCCTTTCAGATTTACTGAACAATATAATCTTTTCGAGTTGGTAGTGGTAATCAGAAAGATGATGGAGGATGGTAGAAAGTAGAATGTGGTTAAATTGTAGGTGGAAAAAGTTATGAATGATTGAAAGTGAGATTAAATATGGGTATGGTCGAAGGTTACCCCTCACTTTCAAGAAAGGGGAGTGGGCAGTGGGGGAAAAAGAGAGAAGATTTGTGGGGTAGGGTACCCTACACCAAGTTACCAGCTTGGTGCGAAACAAAAACAGAAACAGAAAATATACTCAAAGAAGAACAACCAATTGTTGAGATTCTATGAACCCAAAAAGAAGGCACTAAACAAAGGAAGACGACAACCAGAAAGTTGGCTTTGTCTCTTCATCAGTCGGTACAAAATTCCAAAAACTTCATTACCCTGTTTGTAGTTGTTCTTTTCATCCTTCCTCCAACTTTGGGGAGACGATAAAAAAGCTTACCCTTCTCTTCCCTTCCCTTCCCTTCCCTTCATCAGACCATCTGTCCTATTCCTCCATCCATTGAACCAACTGATTAACAGATCTCAACCAAAATTAAGAAAACTCTGTTCCAACTCGCTGACGTGGAATTGTCTACCGTCATCATCACTATTGACCTCTCGGAAACTGCAATAAAATGCAGCACGATCTAAGCTAGGATGTGTATGGCTTTGTTGGTTTCTCTTTAAAGGTCTCGTACTGGTAGAAATAATTGTCTTTTACTTATTTACTATGTATCTCTCTCCTCCTTATCCAGTTGATGTGGAACTTGTTTGCATTCCTATTAGTATTATATTGCATTTTTGGTCGTTGAGTTTGAGGAGTTTTAGAACTGACAATTTAGTCTCTGACCTTTAAGAAACATTCTAAAAGGTTCCTAGAGTTAAACTGTCTTGATGCTAGTGTCACTCATGAAATTGGCATTTGCTAACGTGGTCTGCTAGTGACAATGGTCATTGAGTTGCAGGTTTTTCCTAGCTTAGGTGGTGGTGGTGGTCATTGGTGATAGTCTTCATTAGGAGTTCTCAATCTTTTAGTTTTTCCTTCCATAACTCAAATGGTACATCATTTAAATCAACAAATCATAAGATGTCACTTGGTTCTTCAAACTCCCATGTTAGCATTATGTGTATGACACTAACGACGCAGTTTGCCTCTAGGGATCTTTTAGAACCATTTTTTTTAAGTTGGGTAGTAAACTGTCAGTTTTTTAAACATAGAGACCAAATTGAAACATGTCCTCAAACTCACCGAACGTGTGTTTTACCCTATATTATAACTGATTTAAAGTGGTCATCTAATAATTGTTTTTTCAATGTTACGTTCATTTTAATTTGATAGTACTTCAAAATAACTTTGGTGTCATTTCATCTATAATGATGTCGAATGTTGAAATTAATAGGGAAAAAAATGTATAAAGAAGTCGGTGATCCTTTCTTTTAGGTAAAGTAAATAACTATATAAAAAAGGAGGGAAAAAATCCTCCAAATCAAAAAATTCATATCTTATAGGGTTATAGGGGCATGTTATTGTCTTCTATTATTTTCGTCTTATAATTCACAATCTTTTTAACACTTTTCAAACTCTCAACAACCAGAAAGTTTTTTTTTTTTTTTTTTTTTCCTTTTCCTAATAGAGATCTCATTCCCAAAGTAGGAGTAGAAATTAATCTCAATTTGAAACAAAATTAGGATGTATGAATGCAACCACAAATCTCTCCAAAATTTGATAGATATCATTTTTCCATTAAAATAATTCTCCCAAACTCATATTTTCTCTAGAATTGAGATTAAACAATGTATCTCTCATATTATATATTTATTGATTACATGACCAAATATTAACAAAAATAGTCCTCTTATCGAAGTACTAGACATATTTTTTTTTGGGATGCTCGCATATGGCAAAACAAACCCAATTAATTACAAATATAACAACGTTATGGTTTATAGAATAAAAAATTCCAACCCTAAAGTCACCCACTAGAAAAATAGTTTCATCCTTACTCAATCATAATCTTGTTGTTATATTTGAGAATATGTGTAATGCTCCAGACCTAAGATTCAGATCAGATTTGGAATTCAAATTTGGCTCTAATTACCCCGACATCCCCTGTGACCTGGCTGTGCCACCGTCTTTAAGAAAATTCCTTTGGAGGTCACACCCAACTCAAGATTGCTCAAAGTCAAGCATGCTTAACTTTGAAGTTCTTATGATTGAGCCATGGAAACGAAGGTACACACGCTTAATAGTTTCATCCTTACTAAATCATAATCTTGTTGTTATATTTGGGAATACGTGTAATGCTCCAAACCTAATTGTCCCGACATCCCCTGTGACCTGGCTGTGCCACCGTCTTTAAGAAAATTCCTTTGGAGGTCACACCCAACTCAAGATTGCTCAAAGTCAAGCACGCTTAACTTTGAAGTTCTTATGATTGAGCCGTGGAAATGAAGGTACACATTTGTTAGTATAGGTAGTAACTATTTAAATGCGGTATCAGTTCATCCGGGGTCACAATATGACAATATAAATTGCGATCGGATGAATTTGGCTAATAATTTTTTCATGGATTGGGAGGTGGGGCAATGGAGTTAATGAGTGGGAGAGCGGAAAAAAAGGAAAAAGGGAGAAAAAAGAAAAGTTGTAGGAAATGGGAATTGGAACATGATATATAATATAAGGTGTGTGATAAGACAATTAAGCAGTAAAATGTTATTTAGGGTTAAAGTTTTTGATGTAAAAGAGAAAAAGGAGATAACAAGTTTGCACGTTTGGATGTCACCTAACAGCAAAACACTTCTTTCCTCATTTCAATCAAACAATGTTATATAAATCTGTCCTCTCACCCATTCTTTTAGATTCCCCATTTTCACTTTTTTTTTTTCAATTTCCCTAACTTATTTAATTTAACCCCTTTTCTTCTTTTTAATCCAATCCTTAAGATATAAGATTAAAACAATAACATGGGGTTTTCTTAATTGATCTAATTTAATGATGGTATACTATATGTTGTGTTTTTCATTTTGATCCATATGTAATATACGCAAATCCAGTCTACAGAGTATCATTATTTTGATCAACACGAACTCGGTACCTAAGCTACATGGATCCAATAGGGTTATGTATTTTGATTTTTTATTTTTTGGATTAAGAGTTGTGTGTTACTTTAGATAACTAAATCTTCTCACCGTAAAATATTTAATTGTCGAGTTAGATTGAGTTTATCGATATCGTCAAAATATATAATCATTTCAGTTGGATATATAAGTTTACTTCTCAAACGATTGTACTGGGTCTACAAAATTACTTTAACTCACATCCATTAATCCTCCTAAATTGCCCTCTAACTTTAGGACGACACATCGTAGAATTGTAAATTAAGGTTGTGATCTCTAAAGTTAATTAATTATATATCAATGCTCTTTAAAAAGAAAAAAAAAAATGTCTACCATATCAATAAAAATATCGATAAAATGTATCTTTGACAGATATTTAAAAAAACCATAAAATATATTTAAATTAATAAATAAAATTTATATATTTTTAAACACAAACCTCTCACCAAATGCAACTGCACATTAATTGGATAAGCAGCCCAACAAATCAACCTCTAAATAATATTTAATTTATATTCTTTTGAAATAATAATAAAATAATAAGTTACATGACTTGATTGGTTAGTAATTGGGGTCCATCCTTAATCATGCTTCCTTGACCACCTGGAAGAGAAATAATATAAATTTCTCTTATTTTTAATTAGAAATTCGTAATACCATTGCATATAGTATATTTTGTAATCATTTAAAATTACAAATAATTTTAATTTTTCAGTCACTAAAATTGACATAAGACATATTTCATAACTAATTTAGACTATAATATATTTTATGTCAATCATTGATTTGCTAAAGGTGACAAAGTTTTAGATGATTTTGTATGCATATCTAACTTTTTTCCCCTTCATATATTTATTGTGAAATTTAAAGAAATTCCATTCATTGACTGAGATGTAATATATTTCTTCTTTTTGCTCATTTATCTTTTAAACCCCTATCCCATTTGCTATTCCAAGACAACAACTTTTCATTACAATTTCAATTGTATTTAGAAATAGAGAAAAATATATATAGAAGGAATATAAAAGAACTTTTAATTACTTAAATTATAATTTTTTATACGTTTATAGCCCTTCTCATTAGTCAGTATTTATCACCCTGTTCATAATTTTTTTTCCCTAATATTAATGTCAATGCCACCTTATGTGTTTTATTCCATAATTTCTCAATATCATTCAAATATTTTTCAGAAAAAGCAACTTTTATTTGAGCTTGGTAAGTATCAAATTTTGCCTTAAATATTCAATTTCATCAAATTGTGTGGCGGTGTTAGCAATCTTTGCTTTAAGACTTTGATTTTTTTTTGTTGGTGTAATTTTTACGATTTAATAGGTTTTCGTTTGAAGAATTATTCTGATAGGCGTACCTTATAGAACATATATTTGTTTGAAATTTTGATAGAATTTAACAAAAAGGATTGATTTTTTTTTTCTAATTTGTAAATTTTAGTGGTCGGTTTTATAAATTTATCAAATTTAATTCGGTGTCAAGTTTGGTTTTTGTTAAATTAGCAAGTTTTTAGAGTGCTTACATTATTATTATTATTATTATTATTATTTATTGTTGAATTTAGTGGATGAATTAGAAGAAATTGAATAGAAGGTAAAAATACGTGACCTAATTACTAAATTTAAGGTCTAATTTGATGAATTAGAAATTAAAAATTATATAACTTGACGAGTTTAGTGGTAAAAATTGATTTAATACTGTTCATCAAAAATATTACTCAATAAAACGTTTATTAGTTACTAAAAGCTTTTCATTTTAAGATATTACTCTCAAAATTAAAACACTCTTGAAAATATCTTAATATTTGGGCTTTAGTTTTAAGTTCTGACATAATTAAATACTATATCGTTATCAGTTATGTAAAGCTAAATTATACTTCAAACTCTTGAGGTTGATGCAAAATGGTTCTCAAATATTATTTCAAAATGTACTTCTCCTGCATGCACTTTTATACTCATTACATAAATATATAGGAAATATATGAAATCAAATGAAAATAATACATTATAATTTGTGTATTTCCATAGTTGTAAGGAAAAAATTATATAGCATACATGATACAGATCTTATTACATATCTATTCAATAGCATATAAATAACTATCTACTCCACGGACTAATTTTGAATTAACCCAATTAAAATTTAATGGTATCACCTATTATGAGGTCTTGTGTTAATTATATAGAAATACGATGGTCAATTTTTTAGATGTATATTTAGTAGTGATGCATATATTAATTACTTTGATAGTTAGGGTATAGAAATGGAAGAAGTTGGATATTTTGGTTATGAAATATGAAGAAGGTAGCTAAGGGAGTGATATATAGGGGATGAAATGGTTTAATCAGAGGGTGAAGAATTGATGTGGGGATTTTGATCAGACGGCTGAGATTGAAGGATATAGATAGTTGAACTAAATTAAAATAGAGAAGAGGGTATGATCTCCTAAGGGTGAGATTGGTTGGCCATCATCTCGATTCTCCATCACTTTTGACGTACTACGTGCACTCTCTCCTTTCAAATTATGCCCTTTAAAGAATTCAATCCAAAAATCACCCCCTCCTTTTTCTTTTTCTCATTTTATATTTCTTTTCCAATATAATTTCACCATGTCCAAATGTCGAAAATCTCCACTTTTACATCGGTTACATAAATTAGATGGAGATGATTGAATCATAGCGTATAAAAGATTTAGGTGTCTTAAACTTCTGTGCTCTAGAGAAACAATCGTCTCTTTTTCAGACAAGCATAGACCAGTCATTCTGTGGGATGATATAAGAACGGCTGCTTCCTATTATTCCACCAAATCGTCTTCCTTTTGTAATTATGACATTTCCACTATTTCTTAAAATTGGAGTGTTTCTAACCCTAGCCTCCGAGCTATGTTTCTAACACACTTTTTGAAGGAATGATATTCCTCTCTTTAAAAAAAGGTATCTATTACTATATCTACAGTGTGAGATGTATATAATTGAAAATGTTACGTACTTGTTCTTTTTTTTTTTTAATATCCGTGAGTGTCGGAGTCAGATTGTGGACATTTCGACTAATCTCACGGAACAAACGTCTAACCCTATTACATTTGGTTTGCCAAGAAAACACAGAAAAGTTAATTTCAAAGTAGGTGGGATCACTTGTTGTTGTAAAATAAAGATAATGGAAGTATGATACAATATAACATTTGAAGGAAGGAAATCTGTGTGGGTAGCTAAGCTAGGGTTTCTACAATTTAGTTCCCATATCCAGGTTGACAAGGACAGCTCAAATGGAAAACATAGGATCTTTAATTAATGATAATATCTATTATTGAATCCAAAATATGGATCTACTTTTTCCACATATTAATTAATGACCCAAATATAAACACATGGATAACCACACAATTTTACAATGATAATTTTACCAAGTGATCTGATTAATTAACCCACTTTGAAAGTGGGCACAGCGGTATCATCATAATTTATTATACTAATTAGCCTAATTAAATTAAAGACAAAATGGCAAGGGGTTTGTAGTGACAAAGCCCTCTTTAGATTATTGTTAATTTCTAGATAAAACGTATACTTAATTCTAAGCACTATTATAAGAAATTCTTTATATATAAAAAAATAAAATCAATAGGAAAGGAAAAAAGAGAAAAAAAAAAAAAAAAAGATGAAGAGAAAGCAAAGTGTTATGGCCCATAACACGTCTTCTCAGTAGCCCACGATGTGAATTTCCTCTCTTCTCCTATTCCTTTCACCTCTCTCTCTGTCTCTTCCTCCATACTTGTTCTTATAATTATTATTGTTTTTTCTTCTCTTTCATAATCAACTGATCTAGTATTATTCCTGAGAGTGTGAACCAGGGATATCATAATATGTCTGGTTCTGGTGAAAGAGGCAAGGACTATGCAGAAGGATCGTCAAGCTCGTCGCAGCAACCGACGACCCCGAGTCGATACGAGTCGCAGAAACGGCGGGATTGGAACACTTTTGGGCAGTACTTGAAGAATCAGAGACCTCCTGTTCCACTCTCTCAGTGCAACTTCAACCATGTCTTGGACTTCCTTAGGTACCTAGATCAGTTTGGGAAGACCAAAGTCCATGTTCAAGGCTGTATGTTTTACGGACAGCCCGAGCCGCCCGCCCCTTGCACCTGCCCTCTCAAGCAAGCTTGGGGCAGTCTTGATGCACTCATAGGCAGATTGAGAGCTGCCTACGAAGAGAACGGGGGATCGCCAGAGACGAACCCTTTTGCCAGCGGTGCAATTAGGGTTTATTTGAGGGAGGTGAGGGAGTGCCAAGCCAAGGCGAGGGGAATCCCTTATAAAAAGAAGAAGAAGAAGCCGAGTCAAAATAAGGGAACCATTGAAGAATCGAGTAGTAGTTCACCGATGCAGTTTTCAACTCCTTAATCGTTAAAAAGCTGTTTCTGTTTGATGATCACAAAAATGGTAATTCATTTCATTTTTCCGTTACTTATATATGTTTCATTTGGATTAGTTAATTAATTAATTGATTAAATTCTTCCCTATCCTTCAAAGTTTCTTAATTATAGAATCCAAATATATCGCTATTGTTTTAATTTGCCAATCCAAAAAAAAGCTAAATAGAACACATTTTTAGAAATTGTAATTGATAGATGGGATTAATAGAGACGTAATGAAAACTTATAACAACCAAATTAGCAATAACCCAATTTTAATCAAATTTTACCATATATATTACAAATGAACTGACAGCTCAAATGCCAGGAATTAATCCTAACTTTTCTTCTAATCTAACAAACAAACAGAAAAAATACAATAAACCAAAAGATCAAAACATAAACACACAAGAAAGTGAGATAACTATAGAGATTGTTTTCTAATTTGTTTTATGCACATGCCATAATACCAATGGATTTCATACTAATTGTTTTGTTTTTTTTAATAATTTCATATTATTAACTTAGCCTAATGAATTATCTTTCTCTTCGAACGCATCCAATAAAATGGTGAGTAATGGAGATTGTCATTTTTAGATTGAGCATCAATATATGGATACAAAAACATTCATTAAAAAAATGCAACCAAAAAAATATAGAGAGATCATATATAAT